CAGGGAGAGCGTGGACCACCGCGCATCTTCTCGACTTCCGACCTGGGAGACTAGAGAATCTTCCTCAACTGCTGCCAGCAGAGAAAGGCTCCGGTGCACCTTCTGAGGTTAAGTGGGTAGAAGGGAGATAGAGCTGCGGAGTGGGGTTGATTTAGCCTGTCTCCAGAATGGGAGAAGTCCTCTCTCTCCTCCGGAGCTGGCGGTCAGACCCCTCCCGGAGATAAAGGGTGTGAACGAGTGGAAACCTTTCAGTCTGCAGAAAGAAAGCACAGGCTTAAGGGGCCCTCAGGTCAAAATCGTGCTTAAATTCCACCTTTTTATCTTTTTCTGTGTCTAGAGGGGAAAAGTAGAGGGTAGACCGGACCTGGAAGCCCCACAGCCACACTACTTTTCTACTTGCTTAGTGAATGTTCTAAGTTCTAGCTAGGATCTAGAGTAAAAGATTTCACCTTTTTTTTTTTTTTAATCATGAAAGGCTTAATGTCACAGATAGATCTTGGAGGACAGGGAAGGCATTTTGCTCTATTTTTTGAATAATTTAAAATATATAAAAGTACCTGTCATTAGCATTTTAAACTATTTTTTTTAAATTTTTTTTAATGTTTTTATTTATTTCTAGGGGAGAGAGAGACAGAGACAGCGTGAGCAGGGAGGGTCAGAGAGAGAGGGAGTCACAGACTGAAACAGGCTCCAGGCTCTGAGCTGGCAGTCAGCACAGAGCCCGACGCGGGGCTTGAACCCACGAACCGCGAGATGATGACCTGAGCGAAAGTCGGACGCTTAACCGACTAAGCCACCCGGGCGCCCCTGTCATTAGCATTTTAGATATGCCTTTTTAAAGCACCTCTCACCAAGCAAGAAAATAGAATATTAGAATGTTATTTACTAGTCCACTGCCCAAGGGGCAAAAATTAGCTGATCCAATTAAAAATAAAACCAAAGTGAAGAGCTTGACACAAAATCCCTCTTTTCAAAAATTGACTTTAGGGGCACCTGAGTGGCTCAGTCGGTTAAGCGTCTGACTTCGGCTCAGGTCATGATCTCAGGTTCATGGGTTCGAGCCCCGCATCAGGCTCTGTGCTGACAGCTCAGAGCCTGGAGCGTACTTCAGATTCTGTGTCTCCCTCTCTGCCCCTCCCCCACTCATGCTCTGTCTCTCTCTGTCTCAAAAATAAATAAACTATTAAAACATTTAAAAACAAAAACAAAGATAGACTTTATTTTCATAAAGCAGTTTTAGGTTCATAGTAAAGTTGAGCTGTAAGTCCACAGATTTCCTTATATACTCCTCCCACCTCCTGCCCTCCAACCCCCTCCCCCTTAAGCTTATGTCACCATACTGGCATATTCTTTGCTATGATGATCCCCCATGGACAAGTCACTACTACTCAAAATCCATAGTTTACTTTAAGGTTCACTACTGTGTTAGGGTGATTTTGACCTCATTCAATGAGTTAGGAAGTATTTCCTCCACTTCTACCTTCTGGAAGAGATTGTAGAGAATTGGTATAATTTCTTACTTATATTTGGTAGAATTCACCTTTGTGTGGCAGGATGAAATGAAGGAAGCTCTTCAAAAACTAGAATAATATTGGGGGTGTCTGGCTCTCTCAATCCATAGAACATGTGACTCTTGATTTAGGGGTTGTAAATTCAAGCCTCACTTTGCACATAAAGATTTCTTAAAACAAAAAAAACAAAAAAAAAGCCAACAAAGAAAATAGAACAATACTTAAAATTTTAAACTTCTGCTCTGTGAAAGACACTGTTAAGAGAAAGAAAAGACAAGCCAAAGACACAGAGTGTTTAGAGGGAAATTTATAGCCTTGAATGCGTGTATATTAGAAAAGAAGAAAAATCTAGGGGCTACTGGGTGGCTCAGTTGGTTAAGGTCAGACACATAATTTCAACTTTTTTTTTTTTTAAATGTTTTTATTTATTTCTAGGAGAGAGAGAGACAGCGTGAGCAGGGGAGGGTCAGAGAGAGAGGGAATCACAGACTCTGAAACAGGCTCCAGGCTCTGAGCTGGCAGTCAGCACAGAGCCCGACGCAGGGCTCGAACCCACAAACCGCGAGATCATGACCCAAGCGAAAGTCGGACGCTTAACCGACTAAGCCACCCAGGCGCCCCTCAACTCTTGATTTCAGCTCAGGTCATGATCTCATGGTTCATGAGATGGAGCCCTGCCTTAGATTCCTTGCTGACAGTATAGATTCTCTGCTTGGGACTGTCTCTCTCCAGCTCTTTCTGCCCTTCCCCTGCTCATGCTATTTTTCTTACATGCTTGTGGTCTTTCTCTCAAAATAAGTAAATAAATAAACTTTAAAAAAAGAAAAGAATCTAAAGTCAATCATCTAAGTTTCCATCTTAGGAAATAAAAAAGGAAGAGCAAATTAAATACAAGTTAAGCAGAAGAAAAGAAATAATAAAAATTAGAGCAGATATCAATGAAATTGAAAATAGGAAATTGGTTCCTCAAAAAATTAACAATAGAACTCCCCTATGACCCAGCAATAGCACTGCTAGGAATTTACCCAAGGGATACAGGTGTGCTGATGCATAGGGGCACATGTACCCCAATGTTCATAGCCGCACTCTCAACAATAGCCAAATCATGGAAAGCGCCCAAGTGTCCATCAACTGATGAATGGATCAAGAAGATGTGGTTTATTTATATGATGGAATACTACATGGCAATGAGAAAGAATGAAATCTGGCCATGTGTAGCAACATGGATGGAACTAGAGGTGTTATGCTATGCAAAGTAAGTCAGGCAGAGGACAGATACCATATGTTTGCACATATAGGTGGGTTAGGAGGAAGCTAACGGAGGACGATGGGGGAGAAAGGGAAAAATAGTTGGGGAGAGGGAGACAAACCATGAGAGACTCTTGAATGCTGAGAACAAACTGAGGGCTGATGGGGGTGGGGGAAAGAGGAAGGGGGGTGATGGGCATGGGGGAGGGCACTTGTTGGGATGAACGCTAGGTATTATATGGAAACAAACTTGGCAATAAACTATTTAAGAAAAATAAATAAATAAAAATATATTAAAAAAAAAGAAAACAGGAAATCAACAGAGAAAATGGATCAAACCAGAAGCTGATTCTTTGAAAAGAGCAATAAAATCATAAATTTCTAGTCAGGCCAACAAAGAAAAAAAAAAGAGAAGACACAAGTTACTAGTATTGGAAATAAAAACTGGGACATCACTATATATGCCATGGACTTTATTTAAATAAAATAATTTTTTTTTTTTTTTTAGAGAATCTCAAACAGGCTCCCCAATGCAGGCCTCTATCCCATGACCCTGCAATCATGACCTAAGCAAAATCAAGAGTCTGACGCTCAACATGACTTAGGGGTGCAGCACCCCTCCTATGGACTTTAAAAAGGAGTACTATGAACAACTCTATGTCCACAAATTTGATGATTTCCTTGAAAGACACCATTTGCCAAAATTCACACAAGAAGAAATAAACTTTTTATTATATCTATATTATTAAAGAAATTAAATCAACACTTAACTCTGCAAAACAGAAAGCACCAGGCCCAGATGTGTTAACTAGTGATTCCTACAAAACATTTAAAGAAGAAATTACACAAATTTCCTACAATCTCTTCCAGAAGATAGGATAAAGAAAAACTTCCTAACTCATTCTATGAGACCAGCATTGATTCAATATCAAAAGCAAAGACATTGCAAGAAAACTACAGACCTCTTTCTCATAGACCTATGTGCAAAATCCCTCAAAAGAATATTAGGACTTGATGCGATTAGACTAGATTGGATTGGATTAGAAATCTAATCCCACAAAATTCTTCTCTAAAGATCATTAATACTATCCATTTCACATAATGATTAGAGAATGGATATTAAATACAGAACACATTTACGCTTTTATATATTTCCTTGGTGCTTCAATGGCACTGTAATTCTATTTCTCCAGACATGATTTACATGGGCATCTGGGTCGTTTAGTCAATTACAGGTATGGGCATCTGGGTCGTTTAGTCAGTTAAGCCTCAGCCTCTTGATCTCAGCTCAGGTCTTAATCTCAGGGTGATGAGTTCAAGCCCTGCCTTGGGCTCTGATCCTCCTTGAGGAGCCTACTTAGAAAGGGAGAAAGAAAAAACAAAGAAAGGAAGGAAGGAAAAGTTACAGTTAGTCCCATGTGAATTAACCCATTCAACCTGGATGGATTACGTTTGGTACACTTTTTTTTCATTCCTGAGCACCGACCACAGAACCTAGCATAATAAAGAAATACCTTGATAGACGGGTGAACTGAGATTTGTTTAGATAATTCAAAGATCCTAATCAAAGCAGGAGCACTCCTAACTTACTTGACTGAAATAATACATCCAGCCACAGAGCCATGCTACAATGACGAGTGCTTAGGCATTCATTAAATTTATATCATTAACTCTAATACAGCAAACATTCAGGGTCAAGTGTTGTGTGAAGCGTTAAAGAAGCATTTTTCAGTCCAGAGATTTTTTAAACTATGGCTCATTAAATTTTGCGGATGACAATGCTTTAAAAATGAATATTGGATTAAATGTATCAAAGTGCTGCTCTTATATCAACGGTAAATGCTGTTTTGTTAATCTTTTGTTTCAAAATTTTTAGGTATGTACTGGGTCATGTTGTAAAAATGGCTGATGTTTACGAGTCATGGCTAAAAAAGGTTTCTAAAACAACTGAGATGGAGGGTGGTTGGTTGGGCTGGGAGTTTTGTAGGGCAAAGCACAAAGTGAACCCTCGAAAGTCCCACGCCTGAAAAGGAACCTAAAACCTGCGCATTGACTCAAGTAGCCGTCATATGATAAAAAAAAAAAGTGGATTGGTCAAACTGTGAGGGCCCCGCCCACAACGTCTTGTCCACCAATGGATACATGGCCGGGGCGGGGTGGGGCGGGGGAAAGGGCGGGGCGAGCCTTGAGCGGGCTTCTTAAGTAGCGGCTGCGTGGCTACCCCTGCAGAGTATCACTACGGCACAGAGGTGTGCGGCAGACCTCACCAGGATCGACGTCGGACGCACTAGATCGTCAAAAAACTATGTCGCGGCAAGAAGCAAACGCCAACGCCTCCTCGTGGGTCGTTGCGTCCCGACGAAGCTCGTCAGTGTCCCGGGCTCCAGAAAGAAGGCCGACGGAGGATCCAAACCGAAGAGGTCAGGGGGTGCCTAAGAGCGGCGGAGGAAGCGGCTGGAGGTATCCATCTGGGCTCCCGCAGGCAGGGGCGGCTGGTGCCCGCGAACCGCCGCTCTGCTTTGGGCTAAAGTCCGTGTGGGTCGGCGCTGTGATCGGTAAGTGAAAGATTGGATAAACGGGGCGGGGCCGGGCCCGGGGCCAGGGCCAGGGCCTCCCCACCCTACTCGCAGCTTCTATTCAGCTGTCATCTAATGAGATTAAGGTCTTTATCTGTATTTCTAATAGCATCTGATGCTAGGATTATGTAATTTACTGCACTTTTAGAAATTTTGTGGAGATGATACTTTGGGAGACCAAACTAGATTTATCAAATGTTTGGAATGAAAGGTCAGGCCTTTTCACAGCTTAACCCAAAATGGACAACAAAGGAGTGCTGAGTCCAATCTGTTTCTTTGAGCACTATGTAGAGCCATTAAAGGTGTAGGCTATTAGGGTTCAGAACATTAGTCATATCTTGCATGCAGTTTATTTTACTTGAGTTTTGCTCAAAACCAGGATCTTTTTCCTTAGTATACCTTGAGTCTTAGAAATTCACTATGGAAAAACATTTAGAAACTATAGGAATGGAGACTTGTCCCATTTGTGGCCATTAAGACTGAGGACAAATTCGAGCAATTTGTCTATTAGCTATGAGAACTAATACTTTGTTTTACCCTTTTCTAAACCTGTTTTGGAAAACAGCAGCATTTTGCAGGCTACTATTAAATAGAGATGATTGATAGACCAGGTAGAGATTCATTGTTCCCTCAAGGAGACTCAGACTAAAAGATCTGAAGAGTGATGCTCCATAAATGAGAGCCCCTAGTTTTGCACTAAAAAATATGCACTGAACACTTCCTGAGCTCCTGTGATAGTGCAGAACCTGTGTTAGAGAGCACCCCCTTAATGTTGGTTCTGGAGCCCATATTTAAGCTTAAATTTGAGTGCAGTACAGTGCTGTAAAAGCAATGTTGTGTGATAGATCCCTGGAATATTTTCATCTTGGATGAAACTACCCATTGAAAATGACCATTTTCCCTTTTTCCCATCCCTGGCAAATCCCATCTTTGTTTCTATGCCTGATTACATTAGGTACCTCAAGGAATGTTATGCTGTATTTGCTTTTTATGATTGGCTTGTTTCATTTAGCCTAATCTTGTCAAGGTTCAATCATGGTGTCAAAAAAGGATTACTTTTTGAAGGCTGACAACTTTTAATATGTTTATACTATATCTTTAATTTTAAAAAATTTTTAAATCTCAAAAATTGTTTTAGTGTTTACTTTTGAGAGACAGACAGACAGCACAAGTGGGAGAGGGGCAGAGAGGGAGACAGAATCTGAAACAGCCTCCAGGCTCTGAGCTGTCAGCACAGAGCCCAGTGCGGGGCTCGATTCCACTAACCTTGAGATCAGGACCTGAGCTGAACTCACTCAACTGACTAAGCCACCCAGGCACCCCTATAGCATATTTTTCTTCATCCAGTAACCTGTTGATAGTCATTTAGGTTGTTTTAATCTCATCATGACTATTGTGAATAATGCAATAATGCTATAATGAAAATGGAAGGATCTTTGAAATTGTATCCTTTGGACACACATCCATGAGCGGAATTGCATAGGGTAGTTCTATTTTTAGTATTTTTAGGAACCTCCATACCTGCACCAATTTACATTCCCACCAACAGTGCACTAGCTTCCCTTGACTCCACATTCTCACCAACTTGTCTCCCATGTTTTTGATACCCATTCTCATAAGCGTGATACCCGGTTGTGGCTTTGATTAACTCTCAAAATATTCTATTGAAAACAGGTCGTGGTGGGTCAAAAATACAAGAGATACAGAGTATAACGAACACAAAAATACAGGTAAGTGGTCTATTAAATCCTCAAAGAGCATAGTTCATTTCTAACTATGATTTCTGTTTAGTTATTAACATGCTGTGGTTTAGAAAAACTGTCAAAGCCTCAGGCTACCATTCTTTTCCAGGAATGGTCCCATACTGTGGTCCATTTCCAGTCTAGATTTTGTGACTCCTGGAAGTAAAAATCTTGAGAGAATTTCCTGACAGTTGAGATCTCAGGAGAATATTCATCCTGTGCCTCCTGGACTCCATCCCCTCAAACCCTGACCTGCACCTATGTTCCCAGTCTCAGCAACATCATTCACCCAGTTTCCAAGACAGAAATCTCAGATTATTTCCCTCCCATCATGCAACAGTCTGTCACTGAGTCCTTTCTACTCCCTGTGTTTCTCAAGGGGAATCCCATCATTTGGGGCATTATCCTCTAATTGTCCACCCAACTTCTAGTCTTATCCCCCTCTCACTGGGCTCTACTGTGACCAGAGCAACACAAATTGTGTTCATAATTTTTTCTTTTCCCGCATAAGAACTTTTCATAGTATCTCAGGCTCTTAAGGAGTCCAGACTCCTTAGCTTGGTCCACTTGATCTGGCTCCTTTAACCTCTAGCCTCCTTTGCCTTCAACTCCCTCCCCGAACTCCTTGAGTACTTACAGCTGGGCTCCTGACACTCTCCAATCTTAACTGATCTAACTCCTGCTCATCAGGGAGGTCTAAGACCTGCTTCCCCATTCTGTGAGGGTTTCTCCCCATCTTCTCTGCATTCATTTCAGCCTCATTTCAAGAACTTATACAAGAGGCTGGGTGGCTCAGTAGGCTAACCATCTGATTTGTTTTAAGCTTTTTCTTCACAGGAAGAGAAAGACAGAATCCAAAGCAGGTTCCCAGCTCTGAGCTGTCCCCACAGAGCCCAACATGGGGCTTGAACTCAAATGACTGAGATCATGACCTGAGCTTAAGTTGGACACTTAACCAACTGAGCCACCTAGGCTTCCCTAACCATCTGACTTGGTTTTTGCTCAAGGTCATGATCTCATGGTTTATGGAATTGACCCTTGCATCCAGCTCTGCACTGACCTTGAGGAGCCTTCTTGAGATTCTCTGTCTCACTCTCTTGTCTCTCCCCTGCACACATTCCCTCTCAAACATAAGAACTTACAGAGTTGTGTGTAAATAGTGCAAATGATAAACTTTTTTGAAATCACCAGCCTAAGATAGCATTTGTTGTAGCAATTTTGAGATACTATTGAATCCATGATGTTTGGGATTATGCATAAGTTAAGGATGTGACTATTTGATGTTTATTTTGAGAGGTGCCTGGGTGGCACATTTGGTTAAGTGTCCGACTTCGACTCAGGTCATGATCTCGCTGTTTGTGGGTTCGAGCCCCACATCTGGTTCTGTGCTGGCAGCTCAGAGCCTGGAGCCTGTTTCAGATTCTATGTCTCCCCCTCTGCTCCTCCCCTGCTCATGTTCTGTCTCTCTGTCTTAAAAATATTTTTTAAATTTATTTTGAGAATCCCAAACATGCTCTTGCTCTCAGGTTCAGAGCTCAGTGAGGGGCTTGGTGAACCATGAGATCATGACAGGGAACTGAAATCAAGAATCCTAGACCTTAACCAACTGAGCCACATGGGTGTCCCTGTCACATTATTTTTTAAATTTAGATTATCCTTTTCCTTTTCATCCAACCAGGAGGTAAATCTCAGGGTAGATTTGTAGAATGAAGAATCACTTCCATTTAGAACTTAGACATTGATAGCAATACTAGATTTACTTAACTTTTATACTGTTTGAATTTGAGTTTTTCTTTTTCTTTGGAGGAGGGCATGGTTAAGACTTCAGTCTCACCTACATTGAGTCTCACCTATTTTTCTCCTGCTTCTAGATAATAAAAGGTTATCCAGAAGCGGAGGTCAGAATATTTGGTACCAGGGGAATGAAGGCCAAGGCCAAAACAGCAATAGATAATGTTGTTAAACAACAAGAAAATTACAATCCCAAACCCAAAATTGGTAAGTAATTTTTGTCTAGTACATCCTTGTTAGAAATTTAAAGACTGCATTCATTGTTACAGGGCATTATAGTTGATGCCTTTCCTGATAACAAAGCTTGATTGCTGTCATTAAATCTTTTCTGTTATGGATTTTTTCCTTCGAAATGCCAGAATACATATTTTCCTCAAAACAATTTCTATGGTCAAGCTTAGCAGTTTTATTTTTAAGAACAGATAAGTGAGAAAAAACAAAATAACCATTAAATGCACTCACTATTAATGGTAGAAGCATTAGTCCTGGCCTTCTGATACTATGTTCTCTTCCCTAGAATGTGACCAACTTTGAAAACTGCCTAGTTATTTGGCATTTAAATCTCAGTCACATGGGTAACTCAGTTGGTAGAGCATCTGACTCTTGATCTTGGGATCATGAGTTTAAGCCCTGTGTTAGACAGTTTACCTAAAAATCTCAGAAATCGGACTAGAGAAAAAGCCATTATTGAGCCATTTCGAGAAATAGGAAAGTAAAACTGCATCTGAAGTTGGTGGCAGCATTACCCCTTACTTAGGAAACTCTGGGAGGCCTTTAAGATTCATTAACCTAGGGTGACAATGGCCACATGATTAGTGTAAAGATTAATATGTGGTTTATTAGCAAACACCAGGCTTTCATACTAATTTAAATTTTACATTTTGTAAATCTGGCAACTGAAAAAACAATACAAATTATAGTATTATAGTCCTAAAACCCGCTTTTTGTATCTTAAGCATTATTTTCTGGTATGTATGTATGTATGTATGTATGTATTAAAGTTTATTGTATTCTGAGAGGGTGTGCATGAGCCAGCTAAGGGCAGAGAGAGAAACCCATGCTGATAGCCCAGAGCCCAAGGTAGGACTTAAATTCACCAACCCAACTGTGAGATTATGACTGAGCCAACTGAGCCACCCAGGAGCCCCTATTGTCTGTTTTTTTAAACACAACAGTAAAGTGGGGTAATTTATACAATTAGGATTTGTTTAAACTAATTTGATAAATATTTTAACAGATATTGTTGCATTCCAACCTTCTGTTGGAAGAGATTTAAGGACAGAGGGTAATAGTACAGAGAATCAGCCATTGATTGATTGGGATCAGATTCGAGAAGATGCTTTGAAATGGAAAAAGAAAAAGTGGGAAGGTTAGTGCTGTATCCTAACAAGTTCATTTAGTGTTGGTGTACCTCTTGGTGTTTTGGGTTTTTTAACCTTGAGGGTTTTTTTGTTTTTTGCTGTTTTGTTTTTGGTTTTTTGTTTTTATTTATTTTTGTTTTTGTTTTTGTTTTTGTTTTTTTAATCAATTGGCTGAGTATATTGACAAGCTACTGATTGGTTACATATTGAAGAAAACATACAATATAAATTACAGAAAGTTGGTTCCATCCCCTCCCACCCCCCACCTCCCTTTACTTGCACCCAAATACTCATACTGATAATGGTCAGAACAAGGCTAAGAGCACCAGAGGTCAGGGTGATTGAAGGGGAAGGTTGGCAATAGGTTGGAGGCTGTCACGGTAATGTGGTTTCTGTCTCAGCTGTGAGTTGGGATGAGGGGGGCCTGCAGCTTGATGACAGCCAGCTGAGGGAAGAACTGCTTTTCCCTTCCCTTGCCCCTAGGACCTGCCTCACACAGAATCAAACCCACTCCAAACACAGTAAGGATATGGATGCTCTTGCTGAATCTGCCCATCAGCAAGAGGGAAAGAAGGGTAACTGCTCCAAATCCTTCTTCCCCACATACAAGGGGGAGGGGAAACCAGGGGCACATGGCTACTACCAGCAGAGGAAGAGTGAGAGAGCAGTAGAAAGGGCTGGAAGTAGGAAAAGCAGAAGATCATATATATTAAAAAGATGATATATATTTAAGACTTAGAATTAGTTGTACAGAAAAGTGCAGGTGGAATAACTCCAGCCTATAATCAAAATTCTATGGAGAAATAATGGTGGATCCCTCCCCCAGCCTCCCCAGTGGTAGCAATTGGTTAGAGTGGATTCCGTTTGGGTAGATCAGATGGAGAAAGTGGGGGCAGTGGGCAGCATCCTCTTGAGGGTTTCATTCTCTTACAATGGGTCTTATTTCCAGTAATGAAATCAATATGAAAAATGATAATAAGATATTAAATGTTGCTATTAGTCCCTGGAGCAAAATTTGTGTTTTCTATGCTGTAATCAGTGCTATAAATGGGAAATTAAAATATTAAACTTAATGGGGGAGCCTGGGTGGCTCAGTCGGTTAAGCATTTGTCTTTGGCTCAGGTCATGATCTCATGGCTCAGTTGGATTGAGGCCCACATCCGGCTCTGCATGGACAGCTCAGCTTGGAGCCTGTTTCAGATTCTGTCTCCCTGTCTGTCTGTCCCTTCTCCATTTGAGTTCTCTTCAGAAAAAAGTAAACTTTAAAAATTAAACTTCTGTCTTATTTGAGGTAACTTATTTGAGGTAGCAAGAGTTTAATAAAGAACCAGGCCCAAGGAGAAAATGAAGGCAATGAACATGACAACAGTAAGGGGTTAACATTGTTGGATGTGGTTGAGGAAAAATTGATTCTGGAGTGTCCTGGCTGACAAGAGCAAAATAAAAAGGGAAAAATATTTAATAAGAAAAAAAAAAACCATACAGTTCTTGAAGAGGTTAGGGTCTTTTATTTGCTTTAATTTTAAATGAGATTCTCACTTGGAATTATGTGGAGTATGTTTCATATCATATCCACTAAATATCAGTCTAAATTCAGACACTAATTTTGGCTATCACAAGGCAGCAATACAACATCATCTAAAATGTGTGATGGGCTCAGCACTGAGTGGAGCCTGCTTAAGATTCTCCCCCTCTCCTACTCTCCCCCACTTATGCTCTCTCTAAATTAAAAAGCTGATGCACTAATAGTGAAATATTTACGATGATTATTTCAGTGGTCAGTCTATCTGCATGTTAAGTTACCAGTGCCACCCTGAGGAGTATGTGGTAGGGAGATCTAGGATGGGGGTCCAGAAAAGATTTAAGTTTGTGGAGGAAGTATGCTAGGCATAGAAGAAAGAAAACATAGCCTCAAAGTGGAATATGAAATACTCTATGTAAACAAAAATGGACCTTCAAAGAAAAGAAAATCAGACTACTGTGTTGGAGAAAATTCATCAGTTGGCATGATTGTCTTGTAAAGCATTCTTTCTCTTAAACTTTATTAGCCTCTCTTTCTCAGATGAAAAATGTAATTGAAAGACAAACCAGAACAGGAGATCTCTTAAGAGACTAGACTAAGCCTGACTGGCAAAGAATGGTCTAAAACTGTAAGGTGAATTTAATGTTTTAGTTTGATTTCTGTTACATTGAATAAATTTGAACGAAATATAAATCCTGATTTATCAAAGTTTTAATGTTCATCTTTGTTCCAGATTTACCTGCAATTAAGAAAAACTTTTACATAGAGTCAGAAACAACAAGTTCAATGACACAAGAGCAAGTGGCTATTTGGAGGTGAGTAGTTTTATTCATTTAAGTATTTTTATTAACTCATTAGGCAAACATTTGATATTACTGGATATGAAGACTATACTTCTGGTATTCACACAAATTTAGTTACATCCTACATGAACTATTTGACAATTGCTATCCAAGAAACCTTTCTGCAAAGACTGAAAAAAGACAGTCCAAAACAGTAGTTACTGTTTACATAGCTATTGAATTTTTAAAACATGGCTAGTATAATTGAAGAGCTGAGTTTTTAACTTAAAAATTTAAGACTCATGTGTGGTTAGTGCCTACTGTGTTGAACAGCAGTTTTAGAGAATTATCTCTACAACTGGTAAATCATAAGTTGGCATATGACTATCAGCATCTGTTCAGGTGCTTATTTGGAATTAAAGGTTCCTAAGAGCAACATGATTTCTCTCAGTCTTGTTACAAAGCTAAGATGTTAGGGGAGAGCAGAAAGAACAGTTATTCTAGGATTGTGATAGGACTCAGACTCAGATCGACAAGTGATCACTTATCAAATGAGAGTAATTCCCATTGACAGGATTGTTAAGGATAAATTAAGGAAATGTATATGGACATTGGAGAGCCTTGTTTGCCAACTCTGATTTAAATCACAAAGTATGTGATTTTCAGGCTCTGTTCTTCACCTTTCCATGAAATCTCATTGGCCCACATGATGTATCTTTTTTCCTGTTAACTATATCTGGTAAGAAAAAGATGGGCTCACTTCTATTTGTTTTTCTGTAGTTTAAGAGTTGCAGTTGAATTTCTAGATAGGATGAACTAATGCTGGGAAAGATTTCTGTTTGGGAATAAACTGACCAAAGCCACTAATACTCTATTTCTTCCTTAAAGGAAAGAAAATTATAATATAATGTGTGATGACTTGAAAAATGATCAGAAGCGTCAGATACCAAATCCTACATGTACTTTTGAGGAGGCCTTTAAACATTACCCAGATGTCATGGACAACATTAAAAAGGCAGGATTCAGGAAGCCGACACCTATCCAGGTATCCTTTTGATTCTAATAGTTTACTGATCTTTCCCCCCAAACAATGTCTTATTAGAAGTTAAAGTTGCCAGAGAGTAACTATCCCTTGAGCATCCCCTGTACGACTAGGGCCCAGCAAAAAGGTTGAAAGAAGTTTGGGCCAGGGAGTGGGGAGCATTTGACTAACAGATGCATTTTTAATATTTCTGTTTTAGTCACAGTCCTGGCCAATAGTGCTGCAAGGAATAGATCTTATAGGAGTATCTCAGACTGGAACTGGGAAGACATTGTCATATTTAATGCCTGGATTCATCCATCTGGATTTGCAACCAGTGTAAGAATTTCTACAGCTCAGTTCTCTTCATAGGGGCTTAAGAGATAATGGATATCAAAAATGCAATTAAAGTTTCTCTGTTGCATTGGTCAAAGTATGCTTAGCCTCAGGGTAAAGCACTTATACTGTGCTCCGTAGAGTATAAGCTGACAAAGTATTTGTAAGTAGTCTTAAATAGCGAAATACTGGAAATGTTTAAATTATCATGTCCAATGCAATTTGTGAAAGAATGTTTGACACAGGAAGGCATTGGCCATATTAAATGAAGGCTGGTATCTGGGCCCTTGGGCATTGTGGTATGCCATTTTTCTATAGTCCACATTTTGTGGTGAATATGACTTCTGACATTCATTGCTACAAACTCTGAAAGCAGTGAAAGAATGTACCGTATGTAACTGAGACAGGTATGTTAATAATTGTTTTTTCTCCAAAGAATTAAAGAAAAAAGGAACAGACCGGGGATGTTAGTCCTTACACCCACTAGGGAATTGGCTCTTCAAGTTCAAAAGGAATGTTCTAAGTATTCATATAAAGGCCTTAAAAGGTATGTCATTTCATTGTCTATTTTTGTATCAGCATTTGAATAATTCGTAGCTTTATACATTGTCCCCTTTTTTTCCTTTTTTATAGCAAGTCATCTTTTTTTTTTTTACAGGTAGTTTATTGTTCATTGTCCCCATTTTTTACACATTTAGAGAATCTGATTGGCTCAGTATGGGTCAGGCATTACCCCACTCTAAATCAAAGATCAGGCAGTGACATCAAGTAAAAGTGATACAAATATGATTCTTTAGGGTATATCACTGAGGGCTAGTGGGTGTGGATAGTCATAGAAAAGGGACAAATACTACCCAGAAGGTATCTTTCACTTTCTGATTTACATACCTTTGGTTTTATTTTGTACACAATGTTTTGGTTGGGATTTTGCATTGTAATGGGACATTCCTTGCCTAAACATGTACCTCTTCTTTTTTAAGTGTTTGTATATATGGTGGAGGAGATAGAAATGATCAAATACAGGCACTGAAAAAAGGAGTCGATATTATCATTGCAACTCCTGGAAGACTAAATGATCTACAGATGAATAACTTTGTCGACCTGAGAAGCATTACTTACTTGGTAATCATGGAGTGAGGGGTTGGGATACTCGGAGGAAGAACAGAATTCTTAACTAAAACAGACTTTAAGAATACTATTCATTTTGTAATGATTTTGTTAAGTTTGAGAGAGGCAGAGAGCACGAGTGGAGAGGGGAAGAGAATCCCAAGCAGGCTTCCCTGCTAGCACAGAGCCCGATGCAGGGCTTGAACCAAAGGTCTATGCTTAACTGAACCACCCAGTTGCCCCTGTAATGGTTTTAAATCCTAGGAATATGTTCCATTACCTCTAATACCTTAATGATTATTAAGAATTCTATTTAAAAAAAAACTTTGAATTTTATAAATGTTGGAAAATGTCAGGTACAGAAGAAAGTTGAAATCCATGTAGATATTTTATTTAGACAGTTAACATTTTTTTCATTAGATCAAGAAACAGCTCAGACTGCTTAAAAAATGTCAATCTGTGTTATAACTGCAGATCCGCACCTACTTGTACTGAAGAAATTAAAATAGTGGCTTAAGGGGTGCCTGGGTGTCTCAGTTAAGGATCAGACTCTTTCCACTCTCTATTTTGGCTCAGGTCATGATCTCACCTTACTGGTGAGAGGGATCCTGTGTGGGACTCTCCTCCATTCCCACTGTCTTTCTCAAAATAAATGGGCATTCTAAAAACTAGTGGCTTAAGAGAAAGAATTACTTTATTTTAGTATGTTAATGGAGAGGATAGATAAGTTACCTCCCATATCTAATGTAGCCAAAATCATTTTTTAATGCAGGTGTTAGACGAAGCTGACAAGATGTTAGATATGGGGTTTGAGCCCCAGATAATGAAGATTTTATTAGACGTGCGCCCAGACAGGCAGACAATTATGACCAGGTAGGTACATGCTGAATTGCTAGTTCCAGAATAGAAATCACTGGACTAGACTCCATTCTTAATTCTCTACAGTATTTGAGAATTGCATGAAATTATCTGCGATGCTTTGGTGAAAGACATGTCATCACTTTGTATAGCAATTCAACTTAGGATAATGATGAGCTATTAGATTTCCTAAGTTAAAGGTATGTTACAGGTATGAAAACATACAGGGAACTCATGGAGGGGAGATTGAGGGCCTCACATTTGAAAACAGTCCCCTGTCCTTATTACTGAATAGTTTTTTGCCAAGATAAAACTGAAAACCAATGTCATTTAAATGAGCCTGATTTTCTTATGACTTATGTAAACTTTGTGCCATTAACAAACATTAAAAAGAATAGTATATAATTGGGAATATATTAAACCTACTCATTTGTTACTAACAGTTCCCTTGTTAAAATTACTGTTGAAAGTACAAAAGGTGATTATGTATGGATGAAGAAACATTTGAATTTTGATGTCCATTCAGTACACTTAATGCTTTTATTTTGCATATGCACTTGGTTTTTTGACTGCTGACAATATGCTGACAAAATACTGTTTTTTTGTGGGGGGGCGGGCAAGAGAAAACTAATCTAACCCTTGAGTTCATTTTACCTTAGAAATTAAGGCATAGGTCTCCATCACTTTTAGTTTGTAAACCTGTTTATTCAACTTATTTAAAAGTTTCATCTAGTAGCTTCATTCTAGTTGAGTGATCTTTTGTGAAGTATACATTCTATAAAAATCCTCCTTATTTAAAAGTACTCAGTTTGTCTTCCATGGGTAATCTGATTCATAGCATTCTTAGGGAAACAATACTTTTTGTTTCATAATATTTTAATGTTTCATATATTCAGTGCAACGTGGCCATATGCTGTCCGTCGACTTGCAGAGTCTTATTTGAAAGATCCTATGATTGTTTACGTTGGTACTTTGGACCTAGTTGTAAGCTTGTTTTTTATTACTATTACCAAAAATATTTTTTAATTATGAGGATTATAATTTGTGTTTTGGCATGTCTACTCTGTCTGCTCCCTAACTAGAGAAAATCTTAGCTGTGTGATTCACTGATTAAAACTTCAGTATACATTGAAGACTAATTTTAACATACAATACTTTTATCTCACATCTAAAGTTTTAATCCCTTAATACGCTCAAATATCCATTCCTTTCCTATTTCCCTGATATCTCATTTTTTATTAATATTGTTAAAATCAGAATCTGAACAAGGTCAACATGTGAATGTGTGTCTGTTTTGGTGAAGTTACAATGGATCAGTACGTTCAGATATCAGTACCTATACAATCCATAAAAATTTCCATTATGTCTCTTTTAAAAATTTTTTTTCTAATGTATTATTTCTGAGAGAAAGTATGAGCAGGGGAGGGTCAGAGAGAGGGAGACACAGATTCTGACAGGCTCCAGGTTCTAAGCTGGCTGTCAGAACAGAGCCCAGAGCCTGACGAGGGTCTGGATCCCATGAACCCAGAGATCATGACTTGAGCCGAAGTCAGCAGCCCAGCCGACTGAGCCACCCAGGCAACCCCATTTTATCTCCTGTATAAAATTTCTACGGCCTTCCACTTAATTGAAGTTGACTTCAGTTAATCACTATTGAAAAATTGATCTTTTGGGGCACCTGGGTGGCTGTTGGTTGAGCATCCAACTTCAGTTCAGATCATGATCTCAGTTCATGGTTCAGCTGTGCTGACAGCTCAGAGCCTGGAGCCTGCTTCAGATGCTGTGTCATCCCCTCCCGCCCCCCCGCTTTCTGCCCCATCCCTGTCAATGCTCTGTCTCAAAAATAAAACACATTAAAAAAATAAAAATTGATCTTTTAATCACAAACATTAGTGACAGGTCATTGTCAATGCTCATTTCATTAGAATGCATGAAAAGTTTGGGTAGATATGGCATTCCTTTCATTAAAAGATTAAAATCTATTTTATCTCTGGGTTAAATTGTATCTGATATTTTTAGATTTTGCATTAAAGTGTCAGAATATTCTGAATGGAAACTCTGGTCCTAAACTGATCATCCTCCGTTATTAATAACATGAGCCCGCCCTCTGCTTATTTTCCAACAATGGTAACTAATTGCTCAACTAACTGCCAAGTATTCAAATTTCCAACTCTGGCTTGGTTGAATCAGTATGAAGCACAAGGCCGAACAATAATAAATCTTTGGGTAGAAACAGGTCATTTTGAGAGGATCTGCCTTTTTTCCCCCTTAGCAGTTTATTAAAACTTAACCAGTGATAGCAATAGATGTGTATTGTGTCTGCCTATCCATTTTGATGTATTGGTATTTGACTCCTTTAGGCTGTAAGTACAGTGAAACAAAACATAATTGTCACCACAGAAGAAGAAAAGCGATCTCATATACAAGATTTTATAGAAAGCATGTCTCAGAAAGAGAAAGTCATCGTCTTTGTTAGCAGAAAAGCTGTGTAAGTATTTTTATATCATTGAATCATCAAACATGTTTAGCAATAGCCCTATTTGTATAGTAATTTCAAATAGGGTATATATGTCTTATAATTTTTGTTGTCTGCTAGTAGTCAAAGTAGTGAATTGATAATGGTATTAGAATAAGCACGTAAGATCACCGACTTCATCTTTTTCAGTGCCGATCACTTAACGAGTGACCTGATTCTGCAACATATATCAGTGGAGTCCCTACATGGCAACAGAGAACAAAAAGATAGGGAAAAAGCATTAGAAAACTTTAAAACAGGTATGCACACTCAGGAATATTTTAGTCAGATTTTCAGAGCTATCCAAATTGTAAGAACTAATATTTAAACTAATAATTTAAATTATTGCAAAGGTAATAATTTGCAGTAAGGCCGAACAATTATGTGTATTGTGTTGTAACTTGCCAGCAGTTTTTAAAAAAGACTGTAAATCCCTTTCCCATTTTCACTGTCTTCTAAGTGTTTTAATATTAAAAGTAATAATGGTTCACCCAATTAGATATTAGGGGAGAATACACTTTGGTGATGTGTCTTGGGTTGGCTTATGCAAGAACATATATTCTTTTGGTTTTACTCTTTAGGTAAAGTAAGAATACTGATCGCCACAGATCTAGGATCTCGAGGTCTTGATATTCATGACATCACACACGTTTATAATTACGACTTCCCCCGGAACATTGAAGAATACGTACATAGAGTAGGCCGGACTGGAAGAGCAGGGTAAGGTCAATCTACGTATGAAAGAAGCCAACTATTACTCCACAAGTGATTCTTAGCTAGAAAAATGTTATTTTTGGTCTTGCCTGTAATTTGCCTGTAAATTGTCTAGGTCAGTTGCTTTGCTACTTTATTCCTGTCCAATTGGCCTATTTCATATTCAACCAGGAGCCCCCCTTGATTAGCTGCAGCTGTTTCTTATTCTACTCTTTGCTTCATATCTGTAGGGTCACACTGAACTACACCCAGTGGTTGCTCTACTGTCCTTGTGGAAGAGGATCTGTTTCCCCAGTGAGAGCACCACTCACAAATACCCTGCAAATATGGTTGAAACCGGGGTGTCTGGGTGGCTCAGTCAGTTGAGCATCTGATGCTGGGTTTCAGCTCAGGTCATGATACCAGGTCACACTGAGCATGAAGCCTGCCTGAGATTCTCTCTCTCCTCTCTGCCTCTCCCCCATTTACATGCACATTCTTCCTCTCTAAAATAAAACAAAACAGCTCCAGACTATTGAGATTCCAAAATTGCTGTTGGAATGCTAACTTTTAAGGCATAATACATATTTGGGCTTGTGGAAAAGTTGAGGTTTTGCTATTTTATTTTGCTAACTGAATCATGAGTACAAATTAAAATGAATTACATGAGCTCCCCCTCCCTTTTATAGGAAAACTGGAACGTCCATTACTCTCATCACAAGAAATGATTGGAGTATTGCTGGCGAGTTAATTAATATTCTAGAAAGAACACGCCAGGTGAGAATCAAAAACTCAGAACTCTTTATCACTTTTCTAGTGTTCAAATAACTTCATGTATTCGAAGTGCCAGTCGTTAGAGTGCTTGTCAGGTGAGAACAGATATTAAACATGTTAAGAGGGCTAAAGCCTATAATTGGGGAAACTGATCTAACGGCAGTGAGCACCAGTGGAGATCATACTGGGGAAGAAGCCAACGGGGCGGAGAAGGGAAACATTCTAGCAAGGGAACATTCAGGCCCAATGCTAAGAGAACATAAAGTGGCACCAGTTATGGCACTTAATGGACTGGCAAGCAACTGTGAAGGGCTGTGCGAGCAGGCAATGGTAGCATAGTCATGGTAGTTTTTAAAGATCTGTCTGGTTTTATTCATTTATTTTTTGATAAATGATAGTTTTTTTAATGTTAACCTCTGAGAGCAAGCAGGGGAGGGGCAGAGAGTGGGGGACAGGATTGGAAGCAGGCTCTGGGCTGACAAGCCAGAGAACCCAACATGGGGCTCAAACCCTCGAACTGTGAAAGCTTTTACTTTAGGGCTCCTGGTTGGATCAGTTGGTTAAGCATCCAACTTCAGCTCAGGTCATGATCTCATGGTTTGTGAGTTCAAGCCCTTTGTTGGGCTCTATGCTGACAGTTTAGAGCCTGGAGCCGGCTTTAAATTCTGTGTCTCCTCTCTACCCTTTACCTGCTCAAGCTCTCAAAGTATTCCAGTTTTTTTTAAGCACCCAAGAAAAGCTTTTACTCTGAAAAAATCTCATTCCTAGTAACACGCATTTAATGTTTCAGAGCATCCCAGATGAACTTAGAGCAATGGCTGAACGATATAAGGCAAATAGACTGAGAAGAGAAAGAGAAAAATGGGGGAAGACCCAAGGGAAATACAAAACGTGTTATTACTAATGCCCTTGTTAAAGTACCAGCTTACTTACAAAAAAGGTAAAATTTAACTTTCAAACTGCCTGTTTTCCTTAACTACGCTGTTATGTGTTTAGTGCAATTGGCATTATCTCGAAGAATCATTTGCACAATAAAGATAACAGGCTTATTACTACCTGTTATCTAAATTTAGGAAATATATCTCATTTAGAGTTGTATTAATTTGAAAGTTGAAAAATTATCTTAAGTGGTATAGAAATCTCATGTAGAGTATAATGGAGTTGGTCAAAATATAAATTTGTAAGAAGCTCTGAGAAACTTGATAATGTATCAATTACAAATACATAATACCTTCTCAGCAATTACTTCAGGAATGTATTTTATAAATATGTCTACATAAGATTCATTATTGCAATATTTGTAGTAGAAGAATAACCTAAATGTCCAGTATGGGCCATATGAATTCATATGTCCAGTAGGAGGATATTTTGAACACACAGCCACCTGGTGCTCATCACTTATTTCACCTATCTCTCCCATCACCTCCCCTAAGATAACCATCTCCCCTCAGATAACCATCAGTTCTCTAAGTCTGTCTTCTTGTTTTTTTCTTAAATCCCACAGGAGTAAAATAGTATTTGTCTCTGATTTACATTTGCTTACATTAATACCTCTAGCTTTTCTTTTGCAAATCATATCTGAAGATATTAGTGTTTATAAGATATAGAGAACTACTAAAACTGAACAAAACAACCTGATTAAGAAGTGGGCAAAGGACGTCCATACACATTTCTCTAAAGATACACAAATGGACAGCGAACATGAAAAGATCCTCAGCCATATTAATCACTGTGGAAATGCAAATAAAAATTGCACTGAGATTGCCGCACACACATTCAGATGGCTATTGTAGAATAGCTACTATCAAATACACAAAATGAGTTTTGACAAGGAAGGGTAAAACTGGGACCCTTGTGTGCTATTGGTGGGAATGGTGTGCATCCACTGCAAAATAGCAGTTCCTGACTTTTGGCTATAATCTCCAAAAGAAATAAAATCAGGGTCCCTAAGAGGGTTGTCCACCCAAGCTCACAGCACCTTTATTCATAATAGCCAAAAGGTGAAGGCAATCCAGGCATGAACAGAGAAGCTAATTGGTAAAAGGAAATTCTGACAACATAGGTACAACATAGGTGAACCTTGAGGACATTATGCTAAGTGAAAAAAGCCAGCCAAGGACAAATACTGTGTGATTCCACTTAACCTAGGTACCTAAGAGTAGTCAATTCCTAGAGAAAGTGGTTTTCAGGCACCAGTCAAAGGGGGAAAATTTGATATTTAATGGCTATAGATTCTTAGTTTTGCAAGATAAAAGTTTGCAGAGTGGCTCTCAGACAACGAGTGTATTTAAACTGTATTTAAAATGGTTAGCCTGGCAGGTTTTGTTTATGAATTTTATCACAGATTAAAATTTAAAGGCTTGAATTGCAGTTTGATTTTCTCTACTTATTTTTTCAGATTTCAAGACCTTAGAAACTTTCAGATATGTGGAAATACTGCAAACATACTGGTTGTGTGAAGAGATGACTTATTCTAAAATAATAGTGTTAAATAAGATAGAATTCAGTATTTTATACCTTTAATAAAATCAAACATTTAAACTCTGAGTTTAATTTTTTTCATGGTTATTAAGGAATGTAGCATTAGTTTCCCACTTATCTTTTTAAAAATAAAAGTACATTTTATCTCCTGAAGTGCTGCTCTATTAAGGTCAGTCTTTAAAGAGTCAAAGTCTGTTCAGATGTCATGGCAGTGAAAAAGATAAAGGGAAAGTGATCTGTCATTTTTAGTACCCCTTTAATTCTGTTTTCTTAAATGATTACACTTTACCTTCTTCTAAATGAAAGAGTAAAAATTTGAGACCAGGATATGCAACAGCGCTTGTTTCAGCCTATAGGCTAAAGTAAGTCCTCAAAAAATTCATTTCCATGGAAGATTCTTGGACTAATCACATTCCCCAACTTCCCTTTATAATTTGAGTAGTTTTCTTGTTCTGTACATGATAGTTACTTGTATTAAGACTTTGGCTTTACCTCCTCTTACTACACAATCATACAAAAGTAGTTTCCTGAAGGGAAGCCTGGGTGGCTCAGTTGGTTAAGCATCTGACTTCAGCTCAGGTCACAATCTTACAGATCATGAATTCCAGCGCCGCATTGGGCTCTGCTGACAGCCTAGACCTGGAGCCTGCTTCAGACTGTGTCTCCCTCTCTCTTCTCCTCCCCTGCTTCTGCATGTTCTCTCCTCTCTCAAAAATATTTAAAAAGTGCCATAGCATAGGAGAATAAGAACCAGATAAAACGTCTAGAAGTGAAAAATGTATAATTTCAAACTCAGTGACCACAGATGAAACCAGAAGAGTGAAATGATCTTGTTGGAAGCAAGGTGATATATTATCCTCTACTTCTGTGTATATGTGAACATTTTCATAAGTTTACCAGAGGAAGCTCAATAGACTAAGTCAGAATCCAGATTGCAGCACAGAAAGACAATCTTTTCTCTTTTGACAGCTGGCAGGGAGATTTGAGAGAGTTGTCTGGGGCCTAGGGCTTCATAGGGACCCTGCAGACTTTGGTTAACTTTGGACACGGCACTGGTGAGGCTCTGGCCACATCTCCTGATCCCAACCCAGCGGCCCCTCAAAGACAATACAGAACAATGGCCTAGGGTGGAGGTGGGGGCAGAGCCAAGGGTCTCCAGCTAGCTGGAAGATCACCTCTATCAGACATTTCCAAGTTTCTAGTGTCCAGATCTTCTCCACATTCAGGGCATACAGCACAGGAGTGGTGGTCAGGGTGCCAGGGATACTGCATGTCTTAAAAAAAAGAGGTCCTCTCTAGCAGGTTCCTTGCTAGAAGTTTTGTTTTCCTTCTCTGAGAAAGCAATCCTTGGGCTCTTTCAAGGAATGTGGACAGATGGGATCCCTACAGTATCTTTTTCAAAAACACCCTGGCACCTGGGTGTCTCAGGGTTAAGTGTCTGACTTAGCTCAGGTCATGATCTAATGGTTTCATGAGTTCAAAGCCCAGGTCAGGCTCTGCTGTCAACACAGAGCTTCAGATCCTATGTACCCTCTCTGCCCCTCCCCAGCTCATTCTCAAGAGAAAAACCAGAAGCAGCTTTCCACTAGAGCCACAGGGGGTCCCTTGGGCCAGATTTCAGGGGGGATGCCCTGGAGATCAGGGCCCAATTTCTGCTGGGCCCTGCTCAGACTGAGTAGGAGACAGGGCCCTGGGCTCAGAGTGCTGGGCAGCCCCTCTGAAGCACGTTTGCCTCTCTGATATTAACTTTGATCTCAATCAGCACTGATTCTGGTGCCAATGGGGAAGGTTGGAGACCATATAACTTATTTTTAAAAAGTAGTCCTCAGGGGCGCCTGGGTGGCTTAGTCGGTTAAGCGTCCGACTTTCGCTTAGGTCATGATCTTGCGGTTCGTGGGTTCGAGCCCCGCGTCGGGCCCTGTGCTGACTGCCAGCTCGGAGCCTGGAGCCTGTTTGTCTGTGACTCCCTCTCTCTCTGACCCTCCCCTGCTCACACTGTCTCTCTCTCTCTCCTAGAAATAAATAAAAATATTAAAAAAAAATAAAGTAGTCCTCAGACCTTTTTTCTCCTTCATTTTCCATTGGCAAGATGCAACCACTTCATCTAAATAACTTGTTTATATTACATTTTCTCGGTTTTTCTAATTTGATATTATCCACTGATTTCCCATTGTAAGAGAAATCAACCCTGTGATGGGTATGCTGTTAGGGTGACTCCAGGACTCAACCTCCTGGGGTGTATATCTAGCTAATAAAGATATGAACCTAACTCATTGGCTTCTGGCAGATAATTACTAAGCCCTTGGAACAACCCAGAAAGCCTAACAAAGTGATTTATGGTGGGCCTTTGGATCATAATACTTCACCTCCAGAGTGGTTCAACATGTAGGGAGTCAACTACTGAGTTTCAATAAAACACTGGCTCAGGGAACTTCCCTGGTTGGCCGTATTTCATGTGTATTGTTATACACAGATGCCAAGAGAAGAATGCATCCACGACTCCACAGGGAAAGGAGAATAGAAGCTCTGTGTTAGGTATCCTGCTCAGTCTGCTGAGTGATTTTCCCTTGGCTAATTTTAACCTGTGTATTTATCCTGTAATAAACTGCAACCATTAAGAGTGTAGCTGCTTCAATGAGTTTTCTGAATCTTCCCAGTGAATTATCAAACCTAAGAATGCTTTTGGGAATCTCCTGAAACTGCAATTGGTGTCAGGTAAGGCTCGTCTTGTGGGGACTGTTGTGCCCCTATGTTTATAGTTGGCCAAACTGACACACAACACTCTTGAGGGATTCCCTATCCCTTGAGTGTGCGTGGGACCTGTGGCTTGCTTCTAACCAACTGGAATGGTAAAAGATATGGAATGTACATGGTTATATGGAATTACATTAAATATGACTGTAGTACAGCTTCTTGCTGGAGTCTCTCCCTCCCTTGAGCTTGGAAGCCACCTGCCATGTTGTGTGGGCTGCCAATGCTGGGAGGCTCACATGGTGAGGAACCAAAGGCAGCTAAGGGCAACCTCTGGCTGCAGCTTTATCACTGCAAGGACATAAATACTGCCATCAAAGGTGGCTCCTTCTCCGTCTGGCCCCAAGTGAGACAGCAGCCCCAGGTGACACCTTGATTATGGCCTTGAGGCCCCGTGCAAAGCCATGCTCAGAATCGTGACCCACAAACACTGAGATAATGTGTTTTAAGCCACTAAAATTGTGATAACTTGTTATGCAGCAATAAGAAATTAGTATCCGGGGCGCCTGGGTGGCTCAGTCGGTTAAGCATCAGACTTCAGCTCAGTTCATGATCTCACGGTTCGTGGATTCGAGCCCTCCAACGGGCTCTGTGCTGACAGCCAGCTTGGAGCCTGGAGCCTGTCTTCAGATTCTGTGTCTCCCTCTCTCTGACCCTCCCCTGCTCACGCTGTCTCTCTCAAATAAAAAATTAAAAAAATTATAGAATCCAACCCCGCCACCTCACTATCGCCTTATAAACAGGCAGTCAGCTTGTTTCTTTATCCTCCTAACTTTAACTTCACATATAACTACAGCTGCGCCATATTATCAAATCAGACTTTTCTTGGACACGTTAGTTTTTATTTAGCATTCACTGTGCCTAAAACTCTCCTCCAAATGTCTAATCTTTCTTAGTATGTTCAAATGTAGTAGGTTGTTAAACGGGATCTATAAAATGCACAGACTGACTATAAAGGAGAAGACTGATTCATTCAACTACATTAAAATTTTAAAACTTTGTTTACTAAATGACACCAAAAATGCTAAAGACACTCCACACAAGGGGACAAGTTATTTGTTACACAGACAACCAACAATGCCTAAGTATCCTAACTATAAGAATTTGTACAAAAATTGAGAATATAGTAAAATTGCCAGTAGAAAATGTGCAAAATATACAAATAGGAAAAAGTTAACAAACAGTGGCTACTTCTAAGTTGAATGCTGTGTGAGCACAGAGGACAAAGGGTAACATTTGGAAATATCAGGTTTGGAAGTACCTGTTTCTCTGACTATTGGACATGTGCATTTATTACCTTTTCAGAAATACATATAAAAGTGTTACTAAAAATTAAAGTAAGTTGCATGTTTTATATTTACCTGTGTATTATTCTATATTTTGTTATGACATAGATTTCCTAGGACATGCAGAGATGATGTAGAACTTATCTTTTCATTTCCTTCTTACTGATTCTGGCATGTGACAGGACATTGCTTCTAAATATATTTGAACATTGAACAAATTACCATTTTAATGGAAGCAATGATCATTTCTAATGTTGTCTCTTGCAACCTTCCACACATTTGTGCTAGGTGGGAAGTGGTGTTAGTAAATGCTTGATGAATTTAATTCAGGCGATATGTATTTTGTCCTTTTCATTCCAGTCTGGTAAAGTTTTCTTAGATTGTAAACACTCCTGCTTCTTATTCCCTGACTAATCTCTTTCCTAGGATAATCAATCTGTTTATACTGATTAGAATTCATTAGGACAACAGAGGATTAAATGATTTATATTCATTTTAAATAATCACTGATGTGATAAATTTCTTTCAATATTATAAACTCTAATTGATTCTTTTTAAAAATATAATTTCAACATTTATGAAAAACTGGAAATCCATTGTTCCTTTCATATTCAATTTCCTGTGACAGAAATTCTTTACTTATTTTGTCTATTTGGTCCCGAGAGAATAGATTAAATCCAGGAATAAAGTAATGCTCGAGATGTTCTATCTTGAGGCACTGAAGAAAGTATGTCACACAGTCATCAAAGCAGAGCTCCAGGTCTCTGGTGTGCCAGTGACTGTCTTGTGACTCCTGAGTACATACATGAAAGAAGGCGGTTTTCACATGGTAAGAGCAGAATTCTTCCAGTTCCTTTCGTTTTTCAAACTTTATTTTCAATTGTTCTAAAAGATATTTCATTAGTTTTAGACAATCTTTCCTGTCGAATAAAAAAGAAAACCACTTATTTTTATTTATTACAACCTGCTTTATTCCCCAAACCTGCTTCATTCCCCAAAAAGCTTTCAGCTGTTTCAGGAAAAAATATACTATAAACAGGGGAGCTTGGGTCACTCAGTTAAGTGTCCAACTCTGGCTCACATCATGATCTCACAGTTCATGAGTTCAAGCCCCACATCAGGCTCTCTGCTGTCACACAGAGCCTGCTTCAGATCTTCTGCCCCTCCCCTGCTTGCTCTCTTTCAAAAATACATAAACATTAAAAAAAAGATAGAGTAAACAATACAGATGTTGTAAAATATAAAAATACAAAAAAACAATGAAGATATATAAATATAATTATAGGCAATTCTAAAACCTGATTATGTTTTCAAATATATGCTCTGAAGTTTCAAAAACATTTTATTCCCTCCTTATTTTTAGCTTAAATATATTATCCTATCAGGATGAATTCAACCATATGAAACTGGCAGATATTTATTCATCCAGTCATTTAGTACCTAGAAAAATCTCATTGTAATTTTTACAGAATGGGAGATGGTTGGCTCAATATGTAGAGCATGTGACTTGATCTCAGGGTCATGAGTTCAAGTCTCATGTTGGGCATACAGCCTACTTAAATAATAAATGATTTTTACAAAATGATTTTGTCTTACTAAGCTGCAAATATTTAATTATTCATCCAGTTATTTAGTAGCTGACAAAATTTAATGTTTATAAAACTATTTAGCCTTACTGGAAATGTATATTTTAGGGGGGTTCCTGGCTGGCTAGTCAGAGGGGGGTACAGTTCTTAATCTTGGGGACATGAGTTCAAGCCCCACATGGGTATAGAAATTACTTAAATAAAACTTAAAAAGGTGGGGAACACTTGGGTGGGTGGCTCAGTTGGTTAAGCACCTGACTTGTGGTTTTGGCATAGGTCATGATCTCATATTTGTGGGTTTGAGCCCCACACTGGGCTCCATGCTGATGATGTGGAGTCTGCCTGGGATTCTCTTTCCCTCTCTGTGCCACTCCGCTGCTCTCTCTGTCTCAAAATAAATAAATAAACTTAAAACAATGTTTTAAGCTTAAAAAATAAAAAAGGGAATATATTTTTCTTTTTTTAAATTTACATTTATTTTTTTTTAATTTTTTTTTAATGTTTTATTTATTTCTAGGGGGGAGAGAGAGAGAGAGAGAGCATGAGCAGGGGATGGTCAGAGAGAGAGGGAGTCACAGACTGAAACAGGCTCCAGGCTCCGAGCTGGCAGTCAGCACAGGGCCCGACGCGGGGCTCGAACCCACGAACCGCGAGATCATGACCTAAGCGAAAGTCGGACGCTTAACCGACTAAGCCACCCAGGCGCCCCATCTCTGTCTCTCTTTAAATATAAATAAATGTAGGGGCCCCATCTCTGTCTCTCTTTAAAAATAAATAAATGTAGGGGCCCCATCTCTGTCTCTCTTTAAAAATAAATAAATGTAGGGGCGCCTGGGTGGCTTAGTCGGTTAAGCGTCCGACTTTCGCTCAGGTCATGATCTCGCGGTTCGTGGGTTCGAGCCCCGCGTCGGGCCCTGTGCTGACTGCCAGCTCGGAGCCTGGAGCCTGTTTCAGTCTGTGACTCCCTCTCTCTCTGACCATCCCCTGCTCATGCTCTCTCTCTCTCTCTCTCCCCTAGAAATAAATAAAACATTAAAAAAAATAGAAAAATAAAAATAAAGAGAGACAGAGAGAGAGATACACACACACAGAATCCAAAGCAGGCTTCAGGCTCTGAGCTGTCAGCACAGAGACAGACAAAGGGCTTGAACCCACAAACTGTGAGATTATGACTTGAGCTGAAGTTGGACATTTAATCTTTTCTTTTTTTTTAAACATTTTTTAACATTTATTTTTTTTTGAAAGACAGAGACAGAGTACTAGTGGGGGAAGGGCAAAGAGACAGTGAGAGAGAGAGGGAGACACAGAATCTGAAGCGGGCTCTAGGCTCTGAGTTTTCAGCACAGAGTCTGATGTGGGGCTTGAACCCATGAACTGTGAGATCATGACCTGAGCTGATGTCATTTAATTAACTGACTGAGCCACCTAGGCACCCCAAGAAATACATTTTGCTTTTAAAAATTTTTTTATGGTTTATTATTTTTGAGATAGAGAAGAGCACAAGTGGGGGAGAGGCAGAAAGACAGGGAGACACAGAATCTGAAACAGGCTCCAGGCTCTAGGCTAGCTGTCAGCACAGAGCCTGACACAGGGCTCGAACTCATGAACCTGGAGATCATGACCTCCGAAGTCGGACACTCAACTGACTGAGCCACCCAGGCGTCCCTACATTTTTCTTAATGCCTGTTTCAAAGCATTAACTTCCTGTGGTTGCATGTGGGGCATTCTTTGACCTTTCAACTTTTGTGATCCTTCTACTAGACAACTTAACTTTTTAAAGTTTTTAATTAAAAAAATTTTTTTAATGTTTTATTTATTTCTGAGAGAGAAAGAGAAAGACAGCATGAGCAAGGGAGGGTCAGAGAGAGAGAGACACAGAATCTGAAACAGGCTCCAGGTTCTGAGCTGGCTGTCAGTACAGAGCCCGACAGGGGACTCGAACCCATGAACAGCGAGACCATGACCTGAGCCTAAGTCAGACGCTTAACCGACTGAGCCATCCAGGCGCCCCATCTACTACACAACTTTAAACTCAAATTATTTCTTTTCAATCTCAGCTCCTAAAGGTACATATGTTAACAGGAAAAATAATTACCTATCTCTTAGTGTTGTTTCAAGTATAGCTAGTCAGTCCCTGGCCTTCACCACAAATAAACCATCTTAAATCAAGCACCAGTATCCAATAAGAGTGATTCTTTGGTCTCCTACCACTATGTGACATTAATGCTTATTACCTTAAAGCAACCAGACTATTAAAACACATCCAATTGTCATGGCTAGCCATGGCGAATGTTTATATCCTCTTACTCTGTCCTACTTCATACAACTGATTCAGGTTCAGGACTTATGCTCCCTGGCCTTGCCTTCTAACACTATTTCCTCGGTCCCTTAGATCTGGCTTCCCTGGTTTCATGCTCACCCTTGAGATAATACTCCAGGGTCAAGCCAGCCATGCACTGCCCCCAGGACTCACCTCAACAATGAGCATCTTCAGTTTGGAGCTATGAAATTAACAAAGAATTAAACATTCCATTGGTAATCTGCCATTTAACAAAATAAGGAAGTTACCTGCAACATTTCACTCCATTAATTTCACAGCAGGTTTTAGATTGTCCATGACTTTTCAAAATGTCCTTTTCAATATGAGAGAAGGATAGTCGCCATGTTTCTTCTTAATTTCCACAAAAAAAAAAAAAAAAAAGAAAAGCACTTTACCAAAAGCATCCAAATATAAACAACACAATCCTTAAGTGATTTCCTTCATTAAAATATCACTCTGGAAGATTTCTAAAAGGAGACAGACCAAAAATGAATAATGTAATTACATATTAAAACAAGTGATCTGAAGCAAATGAGCTGAAATAGAAAAAATGGAGGGGAGCATAATACAGTTAGTATGACAAGATGTATGTATTACCTTTTATAAATTGCTAAATTCAGTTTGTTAATATTTTGTTTCAATAATAATCTGAAAACTGATTCAAATTTTTTATTTTTTTGGCCATCCTTGTAAGTTTTGGTATTCATGTAAAATGAACTAGGGAACATTTCCATGAGAGAAACTTTTCGTTGGGGGAGTTTATATAAGAATAGAATGGACTTCCCCCGGCTTCTAGAGTTTACCCATGGCTAACTCTTTTACATTTGTTCTATCGTATTATCTAGTTGTTTTTATGCCAGAAATATGATTTGTACTTTAAAAATTAATCAATATACTGTCTCACTAACAGAATAAAGGAAAAACATATGATCATCTCAATAATGGCAGAAAATGCAGCTAATAAAATTTAATGTATATTTTAAATGTTAATTTTTGAAAGAGAGAACAGGGGAGGGGCAGAGAGAGAGACACAGAATCCAAAGCAGGCTCCAGGCTCTGAGCTGTCACCACAGAGCCCAACGTGGGGCTCGAACTCATGAACTGTGAGATCATGACCTGAGCTGAAGTTGGACGTGTTCCCGACTGAGCCACCCAGGCACCCTTAAAATTTAATATTTGTAATTTAAATAAAAAACCTCTCTCAGCAAAGGTAGAGTAGATTTAAGAGAGGAAAAAAAGAGTGACATGATAAATATAAGGTAAAAAGTTGAAGTTTTTCTTTTGAAATTAGGAAGATAGGATACTGGTTATCCCCATTTCCGTTCAGCATGCACTGGCTATCCTAACAAGCACACTGAGGGAGGAAAAACAGGGACATAGCATGGGAAAGGGAGAAACAAAGCTATTATTGTTCACAGATGATGACATAATTGTGTAGGTAGAAAATACAAAAGAGGCTGGGTGACAGGTATATGTAAATTCAATATGTTCTTCAGTCTACTTTCCTATTGGTTTAAAACTTTTCATAATAAAAAGTTACAACTGCCTATGAGTAAATCTAGCAAAATATACACAAAACTTTGACAGAAAATTCTAAAACTTCACTGAGAAGTATTAGAGGAAATCTAAATAAATGGAGATGTTCACCCTATACATGGATTGGAAGACTCATTATTATACTATATCAAGTCTCCTCAGATTTATCTATAGATTCAATGTACTCACAATCAAAATTTTAAAAAAATGTTTTTGTGGTACTTGAAAAGAGGATACCAAAATTTTAATGAAAATACCAAGACTTAGGAATATCTAAAACACTCTGGAAGTGGGAGAATTTGCTCTACCAGATATCAAGCCTTATAAAGCTACATTATGTATGGCAGTATGGTATAGCCCAAGGACAGAGGTGTTTTTTTTTTTTTTTTAAACGTTTATTCATTTTTGAGGGACAGAGTGAGACAGAGAGCAAGCAGGGATGGAGCAGAAGGAAAGAGGGGAAAACAGAGAATCCAAAGCAGGCTCCAGGCTCCAAGCTGTCAGCACAGAGCCTGACGACTTAGGGCTCAAACTCAGAAACCACAAGATCATGACCTGAGCCAAAGTTGGATGCTCAACCGACTGAGCCACCCAGGTGCCCCCAGACAAAGGTTTAATTTGACAGAATAAAGAGTTTAGTAATAGCTACACAATATGTAGACAATGAATATATGGAAAAGGTAGCACTGGGCTAAGGGTGCTCATTACCATATAAATCCATTTATGAAATCCACTTATATCATTCTGGAAAAGGCAAATCTATACAGATGGTAAGCAGATCACTGGTTGCCAGAGGTTGAATAAATGAAGCACAGGGGGCTCTTTAAGGCAATGAAGCTATTATGTAAGGGCAGATACATGATACAATTCATTTGTCAAAATCAGAACTCTATAGCACAGTGAACCTTGAAGTATGATAACTTTAAAAAGTCACTAGAGGCCAAGTAAGCCCAGGAAATAATGCAGACCAGCAGAAGGGACTCTAACTGTATTACAAATGTATGAAACAACCTCCTTGAAAGGGGCAGGTATAGAAGCAAAAAACCTCCCTGAAGGAGGAAGGTGGAAGCAAAGTAAGTTACTTTGGAAATGTCATCTAAAAGACTGAAGGCAAAAGAAATTGTACATAACCTCTGTATTCCAGTTGATAATTGCTTCCACATGAAAATGGGTTTACAATTCTGAAAATATATATACTGGAACTGAACAGTTAATAGGTGACAGATGCTGGGAGCCAGGGTTTTCACTGTTGTAAGGAGAGGTAACTGATAGCAAGGAGAGAAATTTAGAATAATCCACGTGGTAATGGATTATAGTTAGAGACATCAGTATGTAGGCATGTATAATTTATATAAAGACAGGTGATTACACATAGAAATATTTACAGCTATATGTACACACTGGGGTCACATATGTTTATGTATTTCCTTGCTCTTTTAGCTGAGTGTATGACACTCTAGAAGCAGAGCATGCATAGTACCCAGATCTTGGTTTCTAGTACATTTCCCAATAAAAGGATCCAGGGTTCCTTGGAAAAATGGCTGATTCTAGGACTTTGGCAGGAAATATGCTAGATGAGCCTGGAGTCTTTTGTAGTTACCAGAAAGAAAGTGAATTAGTGCTGAACCCCACACCCAACTATGGCGGAGTATGTCAAGGGATACAGGAACCAACTGGAAGAGCTCTCAAAGGCAAAAGCTGGAACAATTTAAACAATAAAATTAAGTGGTACTGGATTATAGCTTAACATAAAAACAATGCCCATGAGTTCTTACTGATATGACTGCTTAAGTAAATAAATAAATGGGGGAAAGAGACAAATCTCCCATGAGGAAGAATTCCAAATAATTTATGTGAATACTGTGCTCTAAAAAGGTGGAGCATAACTTTCCCATTCTTTTTTTTTCTTAATGTTTATTTATTTATTGGGGAGGGAGGAGACAAGGGAGGGAAAGAGAGAGTGAGAGAGGGATTCAGAGAATCCAAAGCAGGGTCGTGCTATCAGCACAGAGCCTGATGTGGGGCTTGAAACCTTGAACCGTGAGATCATGATTTGCGCCAAAGTCAGATGCTTACTTACTGAGCCACCCAGGTGCCCCAAATCCCCAATTCTTAAGAGTGAATTGTGCACAGTGACTTCTTTCCAAATAGAACAGTATGAAAAAGGGGGAAAGGAGTAAGAGTGGAGAAACCTGACAAATGGCTTATAACAGCCAGGTGATCAAGGTCAACAACAACCATGCTATGTCACATTCGTGGCATGTGCCCTTGATAAGATGTGATAAGAATGGCATTACCTCTGTTGTCTTTTGCCCCAAAACCCAGAACTCCAGTTTAATCACAAGAAGATATCAGACACCTATCAAATGAGGGACATTCTACAAAATACCTGACTGGTGCTCCTCAAAATCATCAAGGGCATCAAAAATAAGGAAAGACTGAGAAACTGTTACAGTTAAGAGGAGCCTAAGATGACACGATGACTAAATGTAATGTGGTGCCCTACACGGGGTCCTGGAACAGGAAAAGAGACATTAGGTAAAAACTAAGAATATTAGAGTTAAGTATGGACTTTAGTTAACAACACTATTATCAATATTTGCTCATTAATTGCGGCAATGTAGCATATTGATGTAAGATGTTAAAAATAAGGAAATAGGTATGGAGTATATAGGAACTCAGTACTATCTTTTCAATTTTCCTGCAAATCTAAAACTGTTTTAAAGTTAAAAGTTTATTTTTAAAAACTACATTGAGATTTCATTTCTCACTCTGAATAATTGGCAAAAATTTCAAAGTTTAAGGAGTTTTGTTGCTAAGGCTGAGAGTGAAATAGGTATTCTCATACATGGCTGTAGGAAGGCAAATTGTGCAATCCCTCTGGGGGAGATCTTGGCAATGTCCAGCAAAATTATATATGGATTTACTCCTTGACCAGCTGTAAAAACAGACTGACAAAAGAAATGAGTGCTACCTTTATATAGAGCCATAGCTCTATATTCAAAATATCTTACTAACTGAAAAAAGGAAGGTGTACTTTTTATCTTAAAAGATAAAGGTATGGATTTACTTACATGAAAGGTAAACCAAAAACAATAAAGAGGGTTTCCAATCAGGGAAGGAGAGAACAGTGTAGAGCAAACATGAATGGAAGCCGTGGTCCTCCAGGAATTCCTTTTTCTGTCGCTTTGACTTTGGAACCATGTGAATGCCTTATATATATATATATATATATATATATACACTTATATTATATTATAATTATAATATATATAATAATACATTATAAAATAATATAATACCTTATATTATATATATATATATACACTTATGAGACAAAATTAAATCAAAATTGAAAATCTAGCATCTAAAATTTAAAACCATAATGAAACAAACCAACCTAACTATTTTGAGTTGGGTAGATTAACCAACTGGAAAAATTCTTTCAGGTGGATTTAAGCTTGGTATTTTGACTGTCCTTTTATCTTAAGAACAAAAGAACTACAAAAAATCTTAAAGTTTTTTTTTTTTTAATTAGACTCTTGATAACAATGCTGGTATTATTTTGAAACAGGTAGAAAGATTTTTTAAATTATTAAAAATCTATAAGTAAAAACCAAACAAATCATACTTTTAAAATGTAGCTTGTAAGGTCAGAAAATTTACAGTAAAATGTTTGGAAAGAGAAAAACTAAAATAGGTGTTACACATGTCTGCAATCTAGTATGAATATTTTCACTGCTAACATGCCCCTGTGTTCGGTCCTTCAGATACAGAGAGACGGGGGTTGAGGGGTATCCCTGCCTGATCACAGATAATCTGAAATGATAAAAGGAAAACAGCCAAGGGTAACAGAGAGCAAAGGTCAGCTGAGCACCCATCACCAGCCTCCATTTTCATCTTTATGCAAGGATGTGACAAACTACCCAATCACATTGCCCTTTGTAGAGCCACGGGGCCACTGAAGGACTCTCTCATCTCTAATCTGATTTGTCTTCCAGTCTTGCCCACAACGGTCAGTAGCAGCCCAATAAGAGGGTGGTACGGGTCCTGTTAAGATTTCTGTATCACATAGGTAAGGGTTTCTTGGGGCAGCTATTCTAGAAATTATCCAGCAGTGCAACTCCTCTTTACGGAAAGCTATGTTGCTTTTATAAAATTATGAATAATGATATATGTGATATCCTCTAACAAACAACTTTTCCTGCAGAAAACAACTCCTCTATATGCGCAATATAAAAAGCTATCATGCGTCCACAAAACATAAGCCATCAAATTAATCATGATCGATGAATTCCAGAATTTGTTCAAAATATTAATTTGTAACATGGTTCACATGTTTCGTGATTCCCTGGAATCCAGCATCACTAGGTACCAAAAGTCCTTAATTTATAAGAGAAAAATAAAATAATCAGCTAACCTGATTTTAGTTGTTTTATCTGTAGACTACCTCAGCCTTGAATGTTTTACCTGCATACTAACTCAGAACCTGAATGTTACCCAAGATCACCATCTGAAAACCTGTCCTTACCGGTGAGGCCAGAGTACACAGGTAAGAAGACTAACTGTAGCTGAGGCTGCAAAGGTCTGCTAGCTGCATGAGGACCAGTGGAAGGGGAAGAAGACAGAAGGAAAGAAGTATGGCTGGGAATGAGAGTCTAGACTCTGATAGCATTAATAATATAGAAATGCTGGGGCGCCTGGGTGGCTTAGTCAGTTAATCATCCGACTTTCACTTAGGTCATGATCTCGTGGTTCGTGGGTTCGAGCCCCGCGTCGGGCTCTGTGCTGACTGCCAGCTCAGAGCCTGGAGCCTGTTTCAGTCTGTAACTCCCTCTCTCTCTGACCCTCCCCTGCTCGCGCTGTCTCTCTCTCTCCTAGAAATAAATAAAACATTAAAAAAAATAATATAGAAATGCTTTATGCTGAAATAGGGATTTTATTGTTTTTTTAATGTTTATTAAATATATGGGGTTGGGTCAGAGAAGAGGGATAGAGGATCCAAAGCAAACTCTGGCTTTAGCGCAGTGAGCCCATGTGGGGCTTAAACTCATAAAAAGAACCGTGAGATCACGACCTGAGCCAAAGTTAGATACTCAACCGACTGAGCCACCCAGGTGCCCCATGAACTAGGGATTTTACATAAACTGTCTCATTTTTTCTCTTCCCATGAACTTTCAGGTAGCTTTGAGAGGCTTGGTTAACTAGCCCAAGATCACACACCTAGTAAGAGAAGAAGCCTCAGGATTCAGATCAAGGGCAGTCTGACTCCAAGGCCAGTACTGCCTTTCTCTATTGAAAACAAACAAACAAAAAATAAACTTCAAATGTGGGTGAGATGATATTTTGAAGCCAAGTTATTTGACATTATTACTACAACTATGCCCTTTTCAATTCTGTTTCTCACCCAATTCCCATCTTATAGTCTATTTCTTTTTTTTTTTTTAATGTTTTATTTATTTCTGAGAGAGAGAGAGACAGTGTGAGCAGGGGAGGGTCAGAGAGAGAAGGAGACACAGAATCCGAAGCAGGCTCCAGGCTTTGAGCTAGCTGTCATCCCAGAGCCTGATGCAGGGCTCGAACCCATGAACCATGAGATCATGACCTGAGCCGAAGTCAGACGCTTAACCGACTGAGCCACCCAGGCACCCCTCTTATAGTCTATTTAATCTGGTGGCTCTTGAAATGCCAACAGCACTGGTTACACTGCCCTAGTATATTAACAGCCCTTGAGGCACCTGGCTGCTTCAGTCATTATAGCAGGTAAATCTTGAACACAGGTGGGAGGTTCAAGCCCCATGCTGGGCATAGAGCTTACTTAAAAAAAGAGAAAGAAACCACAGACAACTCTTTTATATGTTTTTAACTTAACCTTCATATTCAAGATACCTTGAAAGCCATTTCCTTCCTTTGCATTCTTGGGTACCAGGTAAAATGGCTGCTGTCTTAGACGGGTTCTAACTTTTGTTCCAAGCCAGTGCTCGATAGGCAGGCCTTCCTTGGTACTAGCAGGCCAGCTGGTGTTTACTTCCAAAGCCAGGATTATATCCACAGATATTTCTTTAGGTTTTCTAAAAAGAAGCGTTATGGCAGGGCTCCCTTTCTTCTTCTTCTCGACAATGACATCTGTATCAGTTTAAACATAAAAGGGAAGACAGCATTTATCAATCCAATTTTCGTTGAAAATACAGGGAAAATAATACATCTATAATTGCAGATCTATAAAGTGCTAAGTGTAAGGTGCAGATTAGTTCTAAAGTGAAACTGACCCCACAAAGAAGTATTTTTCCTCATATCACCAATATTTATCGATACCTACCATGGGGAAGCACTGTCAAGATTCTGTCTGGTATAAATCATGAGGAGCCCATGAAGACTGTGGGCTTTGGGAGTGCTGTGATTAACGTTTAACTTAAATTTATGGATGGCATTTTGGAGGGACTCCTGGAGAAGAGATGAGATGAATGGGAGAGAGGTGACAGGCAATCGAGAAGAACACAGCAATAGCCCGACACAGGGGGTGTGTGCCTGTGGCACCACAGAGGCACTGGGCATGAAGATGTGGGGAGCAATCCACATTCACTACAGCATTATTCATAACAGCCAAGACATGGAACAACTTCAGTGTCCATGGATGGATGAATGAATATAGAAATTGTGGTATATACATGCCATGGAATATCATGTGAATATCTGGCCTTAACAAGTGAATATCTTGCCATTTGTGACAACATGGATGAAACTAGAGGGCATTATGCTAAGTGAAATAAGCCAGACACAGAAAAGCAAATATTGTATGACCTCACTTAAATGTGGAATCAAAAAAAGTAGACTACATAGAAGCAGAAGGTAGGATGGTGGTTAACAGGGGGTTACCAGGGTTGGGGAGTGGGGAGAAATGGGGAGATGTTAGTCAAAAGTTACAGAGTTACAGTTATGTAGGGCGAGTATGTACAGAGATCTGATGTACTTCACAATGACTGTCATTAATCCTACTACATTGTATACTAGAAAGGAGCCAAGAAAGTAGATTTCAGGTACTCTCACCACACAGAGAAAAGGCAACTATGTGAGAAGATAAGTTCATGTGCATGACTGCTGAAATCATTTCACCATGTATATGTGCATTAAAACATCATGTTGTACACCTTAAATACAGTTGACTTTTGAACAACAGGGCCTGAACTGTGCAGGTCCACTTATGCAGAATTTTTTTAGTAAATACAGTACAGCACTGCAAATGTATTTTCTCTTCCTTATGATTTTCTTTTATTAAAGTTTTTAAATTTCAGTTAGTTAACATACAGTGTAATATTAGTTTCAGATATGCAATATGGTGATTCAATGCTTCCACACAACACCTAGTGCTCATCACAACAAGTGCATCCTTAATTCCCATCACCTATTTAACCCATCCCCCTACTGACCTCCTTTCTGGTAACCATCAATTTGTTCTCTATAGTTAAGAGTCTGTTTCTTGGGGGTGCCTGGGTGGCTCAGTCAGTTAGGTATTCAACTCTTGATTTCAGCTCAGGTCATGATCTTATGGTCACTGGATTGAGCCCTGGCTCCCGCTCTATGCTGAGAGTGGAGCCTTCTTGGGATTCTCTCTCCCTCTTTCTGCTCCTCCCTCATGCATGCTCTCTCTCTCAATAAATATTTTTAAAAAGGAAAAAATAGAGAAAACAAGAATCTGTTTCTTGGTCTGCCTCTCTCTTTTTGTCACTTTGTTCCTTGGTTGTGATCATATAGTGGTTAGTACTCTGGTGTGTCACTTTTTGCTCCTTTGTTTTGTTTCTTAAATTACATATGAGTGAAATCATATGGTATTTGTCTTTCTCTGACTTATTTCACGCAAAATAATACTCTGTAGCTCCATCATGTCATTGCAAATGGCAATATTTCATTTTTTATGGCCGAATAATATTCCATTGTGTATATAGAACACATCTTCTTTATCCATTCATCAATCAGTAGACACTTGGGCTGCTTCCATTTCTTAGCTATTGTAATTAATGTTGCTATAAACTTAGGGGCGCAGGTATCACTTTAAATTAATGTTTTTGTATTATTTGGGTAAATACCCAGTATTGCAATTTCTAGAGTATAGGGTTGTTCTATTTTTAACTTTCTGAGGAACTTCTATACTGTTACAGAGTGGCAGCATCAGTTGGCATTCCCACCAACAGTGCAAGAGAGTTCCTTTTCCTCCACATCCTCGCCAACAACTGTTGTTTCTTGTGTTTTTGATTTTAGTCATTTTGATAGGTGTGAGGTGATATCTCATTGTAGTTTTGATTTGCATTTCCCTGATGGTAAGTGATGATGAACATCTTTTCATGTGTCAGTTGGCCATCTGCATGTCTTCTTAGAAGAAATGTCTGTTCATGTCTTTTGCCCATTATTAACTGGATTATTTGTTTTTTGGGTGTTAAGTACTTTATATATTTTGGATACTAACCCTTTATCAGATATGCCATTTGCAACTATCTTTTCCCATTCTGTAGGTTGCCTTTTAGTTCTGTTGATTATTTTCTTCACCCTGCAGAAACTTTTTTATTTTGATGTAGTCATCACTTTTGATTTTCTTACCATTTTCTTTTCTCTAGCTTACTTTATTGTAAGAATGTAGTATATAAGACATATACAAAATGTGTGTTAATCAACTGTTTACTTATTAGTAAGCTCTTGGTAGTTAAGTTTTGTTAAGTTATACACAGACTATTTTGTGTATTATTTGTTAAGTTATATATAGATTATTATGTGTACTATACATAGATTTTCAACTATGTGGGGTGGTGCCCGTAACTGCCCTGTTGTTCAAAAGTCAACAGTATACAGAGTTTGTATTTTTGTTTAAAGACACAAGTAACAGAAGTAAGAGGAATTAAAGAGGTTCAAAGCAGCAGAACTAGTAGATGGACTAAATCTGTAAGGTAAGAAAGAAGATAGAATTCTAGAATGCCATCCCAGGATTTTGGCCTGGGAAATGATTGATGTTGATTTGATTCTTCAATATGGAATATGCAGAAGGAAGAAAGTGATTGGGGTGAGATGTTATTTCATTTTTATTTATTTTTATTTTTAATTAAAAAATTTTTAATGTTTTATTTATTTTTGAGAGAGACAGAGCATGAGCAGAGGAAGGGCAGAGAGAGGGAGACACAGGATCCGAAGCAGGCTCCAGGCTCCGAGCTGTGAGCACAGAGCCCAACGTGGGGCTTGAACTCATGAACTGCGAGATCATGACCTGAGCCAAAGTTGGACACTCAACCAACTGAGCCACCTAGGCGCCCCTGATGTATTTCATTTTAGACACACTGAGCTCTAGGTGTTTGGGGAACACCCAACAGGAGGTGGCCACTGGGCAGATGGCTTTGGTGGTCAAAAATTCAGTGCCCCTAGATGAGAGATACCGGCTTTGGGACTGGGAGGTATATAAGCAATAAAGACTACTCCCCGATAAGGCTTATGGAAGGGACCATAGTGAGAGAGAAGACAGAGGACAAGGAGAAAATCCTGCAGAATGCCCTCATTTTGCTATTACTAGATCTGCAAAACTACCCATTTCTTACTCATTATACCCTTCTACCCTCCTATTACTACTGAGAAAGTGTACACCCACCTTTCAAAGGCTACTCCTGCACATGGTGTCTGGATTCCTTCCTTCTTACCTTCTTAAGCACCTATTTCTTCAACTGTTGCCTCTCTCCTGCATCAGTGCTGCCCCCTCCCTACTGGATTATTCCTGTCTATACAAAGATTCCAGTGTCTCTCATTCTAAATTTTTTTTAATGTTTTTATTTATTTCTGAGAGAGATAGAGAGACAGCATGAGCAGGGGAGGGTCAGAGAGAGAAAGAGATACAGAATCTGAAGCAGGCTCTAGGCTCTGACCTAGCTGTCAGCACAGAACCTGACGCAGGGCTCGAACCCACGAACCATGAGATCATGACCTGAGCCAAAGTCAGATGCTTAACCAACTGAGCCACCCAGGCGCCCCAGTATCTCTCATTCTAAAATATACCTCTCTCTTGACCCCAACCTGCCTCTTCCCCACACTTACCCATCTTTCTACGTTTTTTACAGCTGAAACTTTGTAAAGATATGCCTACACATGATGTTTCTACTGCATCCCTGCCCTTTCTCTCTTGCATGCTCATGACCCCATCGAAATTGCTAAGTCCAAGTTACCAACAACCCCCACAAAACTGAAGACCAAATCCAGTGGTTTTCCAAATGTCAGTAGCACTCTACACACTGAGCACTCGTTCTGCAAAACACTGCAAAAGAGCCCCTCCTCTTCTTCCCAACGTCTAATGGAGTCCTCTTCTTACCATTCTACTTAACACTGCAACTCCCCTCCCCCATCCTATGCCTCAACACTTTTCAACATAGGACTTAATACTTTCTGGTAGTTAGGACAATTATGTTTTCCATTTGTTATGAATTATATGTCTGCCCTTACATAACTAAGGTACAGAAGGGTGAGGATCTTCATCTATTTACTATATTCTATTCTAATATACTTCTACTATAATAATATAATTTTATTCTAATATAATATACTATTACTTCATCATTACTACATCCCAAACACCTAGAACATCTGCCACATTAGATGGTCAATTAATACTGATTCGCGAATAAATCAATCAATGCTTTCTGCCTATGGGGTCTCGTCCATTGCCAATGCCATTTATATGTTTACATACAACCCAAACATATCCTCTGAGCTTCAAACCCATATCCAATTACAGACTTGATACACTCACTTCAACGTATCACAGGAATCTCTAACTTAAAATATCCAAAGCCAAAAACTCCTAATTCATACCCCAAAATACATTTCTCCTCAATCCTTCCCATCTTAGAAAATCACACAATCAATCCACAGAGGTGCTCAGTCAGAAACCAGGAGCCCTTCTTTAATTCAATCCTCTTGAACCTCTAAACTTAATCCAGAAGTAAGCACAGCTTGGATCTATCTGTTTCTCTCCATTCCTACATCCACCAAAGCCACCACTATCTTTCATCTGAATTACTTCAATGTTTTTCTTTCCTTTTCCTTATTTGCCTTTTTATAATATCTTCTCCAGAGAAGCCAGAGTAAGCTTTTAAAAATACAAAGCAAATCATCATTCCCTAGTTAAAACCTGACCTCTCAATGAACATGGTATCAGTCCAGGATCTATAAGTCCTTGCACAGTCTGGCTCCTGGCCACCTTTTCAACTGTGTTTCATGTCACTCTTCCACTTGTCCACATAGGCCTCTTTTTGTTCTTTAAGCTTGCCAACCTCTTTCCTGCCTTGGGGTCTTACTCCAGCCCAGTTGCTACTACTTCACCCAGTTCATTCTCTTCAGAGCACTTAATGCAATTTGTGTTTACAAGCTTCAAGAGGGGATCCCAGAGATTTCATGCAATCACATGTACCCAGTGGCACAGGCAGCCAATCAGAGAATATCCACTGGAAACCAAAATAGAACAAATCAACCTTTAGGAAGAACACCAAGAAAATGTAGTAACTATAATCAAGAGCAAAGTTGTTTCTAGGAGCAAGTGGTTAACAGTCTGCTGCAGGGAGGTCAAGAGCAGGAGAGGATCCTTTAGTGATGACTGGGTGTTCCAGCCGCTGTGACATGTCCCTCCCTCAAACCCTGTTATGAAGAAGGCACTTTACTTGTCTAATGTGGTGGTGGGGGAAGATCAGGAGAGAAGTGTACATTGGCAATTAGTAGGTAAGGTTAGACCTTTAAGAATCAAAAGCCAAGGGGCACCTGGGTGGCTTAGTTGGTTGAGTGTCCAACTCTGGTTTCAGCTCAGGTCATGATCTCACAGTTTTTGAGATCAAGCCCTGAGTCAGGCTCCATGTGAAGCCTGTGATTCTCTCTCTCTTTCTCTCTGCCCCTTCCCTGTGCGCACACATGAATGTGCTCTCTCTCTCTCTTCCCCCCTCTCAAAATAGTTTTCAAAAGAGAATCAAAAGTCAAAAATCTTACCTTCAATGTCTTCAATTTCTTTCTTAATGATTTTCCTAAACTTGCACAGCATCTTAGAAGCTGATAATATTTCCCCTTCTAAAAACGGACTCAGAGGATTTCCTTTAGGATTTCTTTTGAACTTCACAAAGTAATATGCACCACTGTTGCGATACTCTTCTAGCTGAATTCTGGGGACCCCCAGTTTGAACATAATATCAAATTCATTAGGAGCAGAAACCTAAAAAATAGTAAAAACAAAAACAAAAACAAAAAAACCCTTGCTTGTGAATATTTTCCAAACAACACAATTTTTTTCTTGAAATTTCCACTTAAACCCTTACTTTGAAAAGTGAGATCCCTAATAATTATATTCTCTGGGAATGTGACTGGTAGAGCCAGAAGAGTATTGTTGCTTTGGTTGGTAGGTTCCATACCCTTTTTTAAAACCAAGAGTATGCATTATTTTCATAATTTAGAACAATTTTAAAGGATATTGTGCAAGTCTTACAATCTGTACCAGTTTTTTTCTGAATTTACAGCTTAATAAAATTAAAAACCTTTAAATGCTATCTTTTATGTGACAAGATACACACTGCAGCCACCATCTTGTCCCAATGGTCTAAAAAAAATGTGTGTAGCCACGTGCTGGCTAGTTGAGCAAAGGCCATCTTGTTATAGCTTCTGGTCACCCAAGTGAGTGAGAGCTCTGATTCATGCACTGCATTACTGTCTTTAACAACAGCATTTTAGGAGCTTCAAAGAATCTTTTTCATCCTCACAATAATAAATGAATCAGCAATTATAATAAATGATCATTTTTCTTATATTAAATATGCTGCAAAGGGGCATGTGGGTGGCTTAGCTGGTTGAGCAATTGACTCTTGATTTCAGCTCAGGTCATGATCCCAGGGTCATGGGATTGAGCCCCACATTAAGATTCCCTCTCTCTTTCTCCCTTTGCCTGTCTCCCCAACTCGTGTGCTCTCTCTGAAATAAAATAAAATAAAATAAAATAAAATAAATAAAATAAAATAAATAAAATAAAATAATAAAATAAAATAAAATAAAAATTTAAAAACCACAGGGGAGCCTGGGTGGCTCAGCTGGTTAAGCATTAGTGTCTTGATTTCGTCTTGGTCATGATGTCATGGTTTGTGGGATGGAGCCCCATATTGGGCTCTTTGCTAACAGCTCAGAGCCTGCTTGGGATATTCTCTCTCTCCCTTTCTCTCTGTCCCTCTCACATGCACACATGTACGTATTTTCTCTCTCTCTCAAAATAAATGCACATTTTATTTATTTCATAAGGTTTTTTGTAATGTTTATTTATTTTTGGGAGACAGAGCATGAGTGGGGGAGGGACAGAGAGAGAGGGAGACACAGAATCCAAAGCAGGCTCCAGGCTCTGAGCTGTCAGCACAGAGCCTGACGCAGGGCTTGAACCCATGAACCATGAGATCGTAACCGGAGCTGAAGTCGGATGCTTAACCGACTGAGCCACCCAGGTGCCCCAATAAATGCACGTTTAAAAAAAATAATAATAAATAAATAAAATTGAAAAAGCCACAAATCTTTCATTAGTCAAGAGCATGCTTCAAGTACAGCTATTGGACTGTACTGTTCAAGAAGGTACCTATAAGTCTAGTGACCATGTGCCTAGTCCAAATTGAGATGTACTATCCTGTATACTGAATTGTGTCCTCCCAAAATTAATATATTGAAGCCTAGCCCGAAATGTGAGTTGGAGACTTGGATACATGGCTTTTAGAAGTTAGTTAAGGTTAAATGAGATTATGAGGGTAGGGTTCTAATCTAATAGGATTGGTGACCTTCAGAGGAGCTGGAAAAGGAGGCGAAGGAGGGAGATCCCTTTTTCACTGTCCACACATAAGGAACAGAATGAGGATACAGGGAGAAGGTGGTTGTCTGTAAGCCAGGAAGAGAGTCCCCACCAAAAACTAACCATGCTGGCGCTCTGATCTTGGACCTCCAGAACTCTGAGAAATTAAATTTGTGTTGTTTAAGCCACTCAGTTTACAGTATTTTTGTTCTGACAGCCTAACATGACTAGGGTATAATATGAGGGTCAAATACTTAGGAGTGACATCAGTGGGAATGAATTAAGAGCCTCTGAAAATCCACTCTTCCATGAAAGCAACAAGAACATGGGCAGAAGTAGTCAATTCAACTTTTTCAGGTTGGCAAATTAATCAGAGACTTGCAAGAATCCAGAGAGGATTTATTCAAGAAAAATGGCTGAATCCCAAAATGAGCCAGTAACCTCTGTGGGCACTACCCTGCTCTCATCTACAGAGCATAGAGGGTTCTCTCACTCCCATTCCCTCTCAGGAACCCTCCACGAACAGTAGCTACTGTTCTAACACCATAGACTAGGTTCACCTGCTTGGAAACAACATATAAACTGAATCATATAAAACGTACTCTATTACATCTGACTTCTTCCATTTAACGTTTATGAGATTTACTCATATTGGTATGTGTATATGTAGTTTGTTCTTTTTCATCTTATGCAGTATTCCATTGAATTAATGCAATTTATCACAATACACTTACTTATTCTGTTGTTGAGTATTTGGATCATTTCCAGTTTTTAACTATTACAAAGCTGTTCTAAGCATTCTTATATATGCTTTTTGGTGGACAGAAGTACTCCTTTCTATTGTATATATGCCTAGCTGAACTGCTGGACCACCAGATAAGCATGTCTTTAGAAGAAAATTTCAATTTTTCTAAAAGGGTTGTACCAACATATCCTTCCTTTATCAAGGTAAGGGAGTTTCAGTTGCCCCACATCTTCTCCAAGATGAAATTGTCAAGTCTTTAAAAATTTTAGCCATCCTAGCAGATACATGTGTAGTAGAATCGCATGCTGGTTTTAATTTAAATTTACCCGATGATTAACCATGTTGAACACCTTTTGTGTTTATTGTTATTTGGATTATACACTAAAGCATTTTTTCAAGGTTTTTGCCCAATTTTAAATTGGTTTGTCTATTTTTTTCTTATTGATTTGTATCCAAGTCCTTTGTCAAATGTACATACTGAGAGTATCTTCTCCCAGTTTGTGGCTTGCATTTTCATCCTCTTAATGGTATTTTTTTTTTTTTAATGTTTTATTCATTTCTAGCAGAGAGAGAGACAGCGTGAGCAGGGGAGGGTCAGAGAGACAAGGAGATACAGAATCTGAAGCAGGTTCCAGGCTCTGAGCAGTCAGCACAGAGCCCGACGCGGGGCTCGAACCCACAAACCGCGAGATCATGACCTAAGCGAAAGTCAGACGCTCAACCGACTAAGCCACCCAGGCGCCCCTCAATGGTATTTTTTAATGAGCAGACGTTCTTAATTCTAATGAAGTCAAATTTATCTATTGTTATGGTTAGCAATTTTAGTGTTCTGTTTAAGAAATATTTGTATATCCTATTATTATGAAGATAGTCTTCTATGCTTTCTTCTAGAAGCTTTGTTGTTGTTCTACCTTTCATCTTTAGGTTTATTATATATCTTTTTAAAAAATGTTTTAATGTTTATTTATTTCTGAAAGAGAGAGACAGAGAGAGAGAATGAGTGGGTAAGGGCAGAGAGAGAAGGAGACACAGAATCCCAAGCAGGCTCCAGGCTCTGAGCTGTCAGCACAGAGCCCAACGTGGGGCTTGAAGTCATGAACAGTGAGATCATGACCTGAGCCAAAGTTGGATGCTTAACCAACTGAGCTACCCAGGTGCCCTGTTATATATCTTGAATTAATTTTTGTGTATCATGTGTAGTAGATGGGTGTCAGGTATACACAATTGATCCAATACTGATTACTGAAAAAAATCATCCTTTCTCCCACTGAATTACACTACTGCATATGTTTTGTACTGAACTGAATTATATATGCAGGTCTGTTCCTGAACTTTCTACTCAACTGGACTATTTATCTATCACTGTACCAATAACAACTGCTTAATTAGGGTAGTTTTATAGTACGTGTTTCTCCTTGGTAGGGTAAATCCTCCAACATTTTCTCCTTTAGAACTGCCTTTGCTGTTCTAGGTCCTCTGCATTTCCACATAAATCTTATAATTGGCTTGTCAATTTAAACAAAAAAATTGATGGGCTTCTGACTGAATTGCATTGAATCTGTATAGATCAACTTGAGGAAACCTGAACATGATATGGATATCCATTTATTTAGTCAGTTTTCAAATTTACTCAGCAATGTTTTGAAATTTTTATCATCTTTAGCAAGAGTTATTCCTAAATATTTGATGTTCTTGATGCTATTGTAAATGACACTTTTACATTTCATTTGCACTTTTGTGGTTAGAATATTGAAGTACTTTGATTTCTGTTTACTGACTTTACTGTATCCAGTAACCCTGCTAAATTCACTGATAACAGTTGAGCAACACAGATTTGAACTCAGTGGGTCCACTTATACACTTTTTCTTTTGTAGTACAGTATTGTAAATGAATTGTGTCTTCCTCACGACTTCCTTATCATTTCTTTTCTTACCTTATTGTAAAATACAGTATATAAATACATGTAACATACAAAGTATGTATTACTCATACTGTTCATCAAAAAGGCTTCCAGTCCACAGTAGGCTCTTAGTAGCTAAGTTTTTGGGGGTGTCAGAAGTTATATATAGACTTTTGACTGCATGGGTGGGGAAGGGTTGGTGCCCCTAGTCCTTGTGTTGTTCAAGGGTCAACTGTATTTCTAATAGTTTGCACAAAAATTCAATAAAGGCATCTGCATAAGTAAGTTTTATTACTCCTTTTCTGATCTTATGTATTTTGTTTCTTTTTCCTGCTTTGTTACATGGGCTTTATGTGTTCCTTTACCCCTCTTACAATGAATTGTAAGATTCATTCATGTTGTTGCATGTGGCTATAGTTATTTCTTTACTGGTTAATGTACCACTGGCTAAAACCACTACAATTACTTGATTTCTATACAACTTTCACTCAGCCCAAACTATATACTTAGTAAAATGCAAAGAAGCAAAGAGAATATTATAGAAGGGCAATGACATGGAGAATTTCTATAAGAAATCTTCCAAATTTTCATCTAGAAATTGACAATATTACAACAAAATATATGAATAAGTATGTGTCAATATGCAACCAGCTAAATAAGATACTAAGAAATGTATCTCATGTCTATCCTTTTTAGCAATTAGAAAGAGTTTGGAATCCAATTTTGAAATCCCAGTGTATGCATAACAGAAGAAAATACACCAAAATGATAACAGTGAATAAGATTAACAGGAATAATATTGCTCTTCTTTATCCTTTTCCTAATTTCCCAAGGACATCGTCACAGAAAAGGGGTGAATATGGAAAAGGCTGACAAAAGTGGTATTTGGGTGGGAACAGCATGGGAGCCTGCTAGAGGATTAACTGCTAGAGCCAGGCAGCAAATCAACTCTACAATGAATATGTATATATTTTATAATCAGTTTTTTAAAAATCAATTTCATTCCATTTCTTCCATCAGTGCAGGATCAGAAAAGGAGTAATAAAACTTACTTATGCAGATGCCTTTATTGAATTTTTATGCAAACCAGGCTGGCTCAGTCAATAAGAGCATATGACTCTTGATCTGAGGTTGTAAGTTCAAGCCCCCACACTGGGTGTAGGGATTACTTAAATAATTTTTTTTTAAAAAAATTGAGGTGCCTGGCTGGCTCAGTCGGTTGGGTACTGGACTCTTAGCTCAGGGTCCTGAGTTTAAGCCCCATGGGGTTATAGAGCTTACTTAGAGAGAGAGGGAGAGAGAGACTTGTTCTGATTGGAATCTGTTCTTTAAACGTCTCATTCTGCCTGGGTGGTTCAGTCAGTTAAACAACAGACTGCAGCTCAGGTCATGTCCTCATGGTTCATGGGTTCATGCCCCACATCAGGCTCTCTGGTGTCAATACAGTCTGCTTCAGATCCTGTCTCCCTCTCTGTCCCTCCCCCATGCATGCACACTCTCCCTAAAATAATCCCTTTTAAAAAGTCTTACTATTACATACATATAATTGAACTGATAGATACTTATGCAGTAAGAATCATACTTAATTGGGCACCTGGGTGGCTCAATCGGTTAAGCAACTGACTCTTGATTTTGGCTCAGGTGATGATCTCAAGGTTCTGGAGTTCAAGCCCCGAGACCAGCTCCAGGCTGACAATGCGGAGCCTGCTTGGGATACTCTCTCCTCCCTCTCTCTGCCCCTCCCCTGCTCTAGCTCTTTCTGAAGAATAAGAAAAGAAAGAGAAGGAGAATAAGAATCATACTTAAGACAATGTAATTAAAGTTTTGCTCACTTGGCTTTCAAAAAACTTTTAGATTGAATTATACAGTCCTCAGGCTACAAGAGTTTAAGATTCAAAGACTGATACATACATTGTCTTTTTGACAATAAACAAAAACATCACTGAGTCCACACCAATGTAATGAGCAGCTGTTTAGGCTGCAATTTGTGTAAAATGTTCCGTGACAATGGAGCTTAAAATCTAGATGGTAGTCAAAACAAAAAATATATGAAAGGCTAATTTCACTGAAAGCTACCAGGTGGCATTTGCTTGAATGCTTGCTATGTGTTAAGGCTTAGAGATACAAAGATGCATAATATTTGGACTGCTATTTTAACAGTTTATAATCCTAAAACCCTAAATCTAGAGTTTAACAATCATCTACCTCTGGAGAGCAGTTAATTGAACAAAGCCAATGCATAACTCTAAAATAAATTACGATTACCTAATAAGGAAATATTCTCAGCCTCTGCTTCTATTCATGCTACTCCAAAGATCTTTTACAGGTCTAATGGAGGTGCATAGCACAGCTCTGAAAACCTGATAGCTTAGGTCAAAACACAATTAGAAATCTGCCACTGGTCAGGAAACAAACTCCAGTCAGGAACCTGTTCCCAAATCTTCAATTCATACTGGAATGAAGATAACTCGGCCACACACAAACAAATGGAACTGTGGAATACATGCTTAAAAACACATATGAATGTGTATTTAGGGAGTATGTTTTTTAGTATCTGTAGGAGATTTTCTCTTAATTTTCTTTATCTTTTTTCTTTTTTTTAAACTAGAGTCTTTATTTATTTATTTATTTATTACTTTGAGAGAGAGAGAGAGAGAGAGAGGCAGCGTGAGCAGGGGAGGGCCAGAGAGAGAGGGAGACACAGAATCTGAAACAGGCTCCAGGCTCTGAGCTGGCTGTCAGCACAGAGCCGATGCGGGGCTTGAACCCACGAACCGTGAGATCATGACCTGAGCTGACGTCGGACGCTTAACCGACTGAGCCACCCAGGCGCCCCTTTCTCTTAATTTTTAAAGAACGTCACTCGCTGTGAGCTTCCCATAACACCTGGATAAGAAATCGGGAAGAGAGGAAGCCGGCAGGGAGGAGAGGCTGGAAGGTGTTTTTCCCATAGGAAAAATGTTCTTAGATACACTAATTTTGTGGAATTTTTTGCAGACCACTCCTAATTGTCCACGTCAGAATTTGACTAGGCAACACCAAATATAGCACTGGCACAGAAACTCAGTACAAATCTGCTTGCATGAATGCATCTATATATTTGAATTCCCTCAATAGCAAGTGTCTTGACAATAGCTGGCAACCAAGCTGTATGTTCGTTGGATGTATAGATGGAGAAACGAGGAACTGTTCCTCTTTCTAGACAGAACTATGTCACAGGGCACAAAAGAACAGGAGTCTGAGTTACTTACTAAGGGAAGTGAGGGACCGTGCGAGTTGGGACTATTCGACAGGCTGGGGGCAGGGACGAGGGAGTCGGACCCAGGGAGCCTCCGGGAACCGGAGGGGGGGCGCTGGGCGGCTCACCTTCACATGCTCATAGTAGCTTCCGGTGCGCAGCAGCGCGACATCTTTGAACTCGGAATCACCGCGCTTCAAGCTTCGCAGCAGGCGGTCCACCACCCCGTTCACAGTGTCCGCCGCCAATGAGATTTCCTGGCGCCTCAGCCTCAATTTTTCTAGCACCGCTCGGGGATTCCAGGCGCCGGGTGCCGCCCCCGGGGCTGAAACCAGCGGGCCAAGGCCGGGGCCCTCCGTGGGCTCTGGCGGGGGTCTTCGCTCCCCGGCGGCGCGCGCGCCGCTCCTCCGGCGAGAACTAGCCCTGGGGAGGGACGGCCCCGCCGCCGGAGACTCCAGCTTCGGCGCCGCAACCGCCTGCCCCTCCACCGCGTCCTCGGCGTCCAGAGGCGCCTTTCTGGCGCGGGCGCCCCGCGCGCGGACCTGCAGTCTCTCCGGGGAGCCCGGAGTGCCGTTCCGCAGGGATCCTGAGGCCCCGACGCCGCCGCGCTTCCGTGCGTTGGGCCGGGCAGCCCCAGTGGCGGACGAAGATTCGCTGGGCTCCTGCCGGGGGCCCTTAACTCCCTGAGCCGAAGCCTTGGAGGTAGCCGCCCTGGCCTTTGAAGCTGTCCGAGGGGCCTTTCCGCGCCGGGGATCCATGGCTGGCGCTCTCTACTCGGCGAAAGCAGGGAGCGTCGGCTTCGCGAAAAGGCCGAGGAAGGAGAAGCCGGCAGAGCGAGAAATGAAACTTAAATATCTGGCGGGAAGGCAGGGAAAAGGGCGGGGAGCACGCACCCAGGGTGAACGCTGGGAGTTCTAGGGGACCTACGCCCCGCCCGCCGTGCTGAGAGAGATGCTAACTTTCTCACCCTGCGGGACAGGCGACGTGCGACGTGGCTGGGCAGGAAGCGCACGAAACCAGAGGGAAGCAGAAAAACTTTCCGGAACTTTGAAACGAAGTTTGATAGATTTGCTCGCTCACTGCCTTAAAGAATTTTGGAGAACTGCAGACCTTGTTGCACATTGAAGATGACAGAGAAACTTTTATTTTTATTATTTTTTATTAATAAAATTATTTAAGTTTATTTTTGAGAGAGAGAGAGAGGGAACCAGAAGGGGAGGGGCAGAGAAAAGGGGGGATCTGAATTCACAAACGGTAAGATCATGACCTGAGCCAAAGTCAAACAAACACTTAACCGATTGAGCCACCTAGGTGCCCTGAGAGAAACTTTTTAAATGTAAGTTTAAGTAAGGGTAATGAAAAATGTTTAATAATGAGAAATAGGAAATTTTCAACTTTTCCAAGGCGGGAATGGAATGAGAACTGCAATTGGAATAAATACTTAATTTTATTTGACTTTTTTAAAAGCACACATAGTCTTAAATTGACTTATCCATGAGTTTTATCCGTTGGTTCTCAAAAGCCCATCAAAAATTGGCACTTACAGGGCCGCCTGGGTGGCACAGTCCGTTAAGCATCTGACTCTTGATTTCTGCTCAGATCACGATCTCAGGGTTTGTGATATCCAACCCTACAGTGGGGTCTAAGCCTACTTGGGATTGTCTCCCTCTCTCTTTGGCCCCTCCTCTGCTGTCTCTCTCTCTCTCTCTCTCAAAAATAAATAAATAAACAAACTTTTTTTTTTCTAGGGGAGAGAGAGAGAGAGAGAGCAAGCGTGAGCAGGGGAGGGTCAGAGAGAGAGGGAGTCACAGACTCTAAAACAGGCTCCAGGCTCTGAGCTGGCAGTCAGCACAGAGCCCGACGCGGGGCTCGAACCCACAAACCGCGAGATCATGACCTTTAAGCGAAAGTCGGACGCTTAACCGACTAAGCCACCCAGGCGCCCTATAAACTTCTTTTAAATGGCACTTAGAGGCGCCTAGGTGACTTAGTCAGTTAAGCCTCTGACTTCTACTCAGGTCAGGATCTCACGGTTCATGAATTCCAACCCTGCTTCAGGCTGTGTGCTAACCGCTCAGAGCCTGGATCCTCTCTCTCTCTGCCCGTCCTTCACTTGTGAGTTCTCTCACTCTTGCTCTCAAAAGTAAATGTTTTATAAAATGACACTTTTTATTTTATTTAAAAAAAATTTTAATGTTTTATTTATTTCTGAGAGAGTGTGAGCAGGGGAGTATCAGAGAGAGGGGGAGACACAGAATCTGAAGCAGGCTCCAGGCTCTGAGCTGTCAGCATAGAGCCTGACGTGAGGCTCAAACTCACAAACCGTGAGATCATGACCTGAGCTGAAGTCGGACGTTTAACCGACTGAGCCACCCAGGTGCCCCAAAAATGACACATTTCAAATAATCCATGCTGCTTTGGCCATTGTGATTCCCAAGTTCTCCATACAGGCTTTCAAATATGTATTTCTAAAGCCAAGCCCTTTACATAAATACATATTAGACAGGAACCCCCTGTGTTTGGAATGCTTTGACTTTTTAAAAACTTTCCTAATCTATTTTTAGGTATACAATGCAATGACATTAAATACATGAACATTGTTGTACAACTATCACCACCATCCATCTCCCCAATTCTTCATCTTGTAAAATTGAAACTCTTCCCATTAAATAATAACTCCGGATTCTTACTCTCTCCCTAGCCATTGGCAACCACTCTTCTACTTTCTGTCTCTATGAATTTGGCTCCTTTAGGTACCTCATGTAAGTGGAATGACACAGTATTTGTCATTTTGTGACTGGCTTATCTTACTTAAGATAATATCCTCAAAGGTTTATCCATATTATCCATATTGTAGAACTTGTCAGCCTTACTTAAAAAAATTTTTTTTTTTTTTTTTTATTTCTTTCTCGGAGAGAGAGAGAGAGACAGCGTGAGCAGGGGAGGGTCAGAGAGACAGGGAGTCACAGACTGAAACAGGCTCCAGGCTCTGAGCTGGCAGTCAGCACAGAGCCCGACGCGGGGCCCGAACCCACGAACCGCGAGATCATGACCTAAGCGAAAGTTGGACGCTTAACCAACTAAGCCACCCAGGCGCCCCTTAAAAAATTTTTTTAATGTTATAATTATTTTAAATGTTATTTATTTTTGAGAGACAGGGTGCAGGACGGGGAGAAGCAGAGAGAGAGTGAGACAAAGAATCTGAAACAGGCTCCATGCTGTCAGGCTATCAGTGCAAAGCCCAACATGGGACTCAAACCCAGGAGCAGTGAGTTCATGACCCGAGCCAAAGTCAGTCACTCAACTGACTGAGCCACTGCGACACCCCCTAGCCTTCCTGATTAAGACTGGATATTTCTCCTGTAAGTTTATACCACATTTTGTTTATCCATTCATCTGTTAGTGGACAAAATTCTTTGATGACTTTTATTTTTTTTAAAATATTTTTATTTATTTCTAGGAGAGAGAGAGAGCGTGAGCAGGGGAGGGTCAGAGAGAGAGGGAGACACAGACTCTGAAGTAGGCTCCAGGCTCTGAGCTGGCAGTCAGCACAGAGCCCCACGCCGGGCTCAAACCCATGAACCGCGAGATCATGACCTAAGCGAAAGTCGGACACTTAACCGACTAAGCCACCCAGGCGCCCCTTTGATGACTCTTTTAAAAGATTTTCCTGAAAGCAATATTTTGATAGATCATCTTTGGTACAAAGACATTTTTTTGTTTATGTTTTTTGCCCCAGGGCAGTGAGTCCTAGTTTGAATTGTGATGTGAGAAAGGTGTAATTTTTCTCTTGTAAAATGGAAGGAGGACTATTGTGTAGTCAAGCTTGTTCTCAAGCAGACCAATTTCAGGGAAAAGTAAAATGGAAGTTGAAATATGGAAATTCATTTCCTTAAAACTGCGAGTGTACTTGGGCAGTCTTCCGGGATGCCCAGGGGTATACCTACCTCATTCTGAAGACCTCTGATCTGTGATTCTATTTTTCTCCTCCAGCGGCTCCAGCTGTGTATCATGGAATCCTGTAAATGACTGTACAGCTAGCTTAATGCTGTCCTCCAGCTATTTCCAAATCTTCGAATGTCCACTAATGTTTTCCTAACCAAAAATGTGTAAGCAATCCACCAGGCCAGAATCACGTATCTTTGCTACTGACCTGTCAAAGGAAAAAATTTTGATCCTTGTTCAATCTTGCTGCGGCAGTGTCTGGATCATAGAGGGAATGACTTTTTAGTTGGGTCTTGATATAGATCTTGGACAACATCTCATAGGAAAAGCCAAGAGATTTGAATTCACAGTGAGTTCGAGCTCCACACTGGGCCTGCTTGGGATTCTCTCTCTGCCCCTCCTGCGCTCACTTGCTCTCTCTCAAAATCATAAACTTTTAAAAAAAGGAAAAAGCAATGTAAGAGGGATCAGGAATGAGGAATGGTACAACACCAAAATACTGGGAGAGTGACATTTGAGCAAAGTTTTAAAGGAGAGGATACCCAGAAGAATGTTCCAGGCAGAAGGAAAAGTTAATGCAAAGGACCTAAGGGGAGACTATGCCTAGTTGTTCAAACAAAAGCAAGTGTGGCAGGAACTAGTGAAGTTTAGGATGTTGTGTCAGTTATCAACTTACTGCTTTCAGACAGGGGCTTTATATACCCTTCAAGGTATGCTGTCAGATAAGTGACAGAGTTCCCTTCAGCATTTCTTTTTTCAGGTATCCACTATGTCAACCTTTCTCAGTAGAGGTGGCAGGAGGACGCTGGAGGAGGAAGAGGTTTCCTGCAATTTCCAACGCAGTGGAGGGAGTGGAAGGAGGTTGCAAGGGAAAGGACAGACTAGTGGGTGTGAGAACATCTGGTAGATTCTACCCCGGCAATAGTCCCAGAAAGTGATTCCCGATCTAAGAGTTATTGGACTGGGGACCCAAGATCCCTGCCTGGCCTGCATAAGCTGCCTGTGGTCCAGAAAGTCGCATACCAAGAAGTTGATCCTTCTTCAAGCCTTGTGTGAAGTCAGCCTGTGTCCCAGGAGGTCCACGTGGCGCTGCTGCTCCCTCTGCAAGCCCCGTGTTATGTAGCCTATACTCTCTGAAGGCCCTCTGCAATTGAGATCTGAACCCCTTTTGAATTCATTCTTACTTGGGTACTCTCCTTCAGCCCTAGAGTACTGTATATTGTTTCCTTATATCTTATATTCTTTTATTTTAATCTTTTTTTAAAGAGTGAATTAATTAATTAATTAATTATTTAGTAGCCTCTACTTCCAACATAGGGCTTGAACTCACAACTCCAAGATCAAGAGTTGCATACTCTACCAACTGAGACCGTCATACATCCCAATATAGTTAATGTTTGTTATATTAAATACCTACTGTGTGATTTCTATCTCCTGATTGGACCCCAGCCTGCTACAGAGTTAGTATTGGGAGTGGTCTCAGGAGATAGAGCCCTAAAGATGGGCTTTAGAGATTGGTTGGGTTGTGTGCTTAGACTTGAGCAAGATGCTCAAGAAGGAGGAACCAGAAAAATATACAAGAAGGAGTAGTCAGAAAAATAGGAGGAAAGCCATAATAGCTTGATGTCTCAGAAGACAAAAGAGTGTGTCAAGATATGACTATGAAGGAAGGACACATAAAATGTCCATCGTCTCTATACTTAAAACTTAATTAAAATCCAGTCCTGGCTACAGTGTTAATGAAATAGTCTTACGCTGCTAATGCACTTGACACAAAGCTTTCAGAAAGCTAATTTAGCCATCATCAATAATTAAAACATTGAGGAATCCTTTTCCACAGTATGTTCTTTTATAGGAAGAGCCCCATACAATTAAAGAGATGTATGTACAAGGATGATCATGATATTAAAAATTACAAACAATTCAGGGCACCTAGGTGGTTCAGTCGGTTACATGTCTAACTCTTGGTTTCAGCTCAGGCCATGATCTCACAGTTTGAGCCCCACATCAGGCTCTGT